TGCCGGGGACGGCTAGGTTGTTGAAGAAAAGTGATTTCTGTTAATTTAGCTTTTCTTTTTACTTTGTTTTCTTTGTCCCACTTGTGCCTTCACGGGTTTGTTGCTTGAGTGTGTGCAGGTAGTGCATGACCCGTAGCCAGTCGGGAGGTTTACTGCCGTTGAATCCAGAGATTGACCGCACCTGTTGCCAGCTCAGGAGACAACAGCGAGCTAGACTGGCTACGGAAGAGCGCATAGACGGCCACCTGAGCAGCGATTCTGAAGAAGAGCACGGGATGGACGGAGACTACAACCAACACCAGGGGAATCCTCAGCAGGTTCCCCCGGTGAATCAGGTCCTGGGGAACAACCCCATACCCCAGGACCATGGAGTTCATCATCCCCCGCAGCCGGGTCCCACATTGGAGTACTACTACACTCCGCGGATTGCTGACATCCGCCCGGTCATCCTCTACCCGCCGATCCCGGCAAACAACTTCGAGATCAAGCCATGCTGGATTCAGCTCATCACATCTTCTATCCAGTTCCATGGCTTGAAGAATGAGGAGGCCAGGGTGCATCTTTCCCGTTTTCTACAGCTGACGAACGGGTTCAAGCTGAATGGTGTCCCCGATGATGCGATCCGCCTTCATCTCTTCCCCCATTCTCTGGCGGGGAATGCTAAGAGGTGGTTGGAGACCCAGCCCCCATTTTCCATCACCTCTTGGGACGATCTGGCTGACAAGTTCGTGCACAGGTATTATCCGGCATCGAAGACTACAGAGATTCAGCGGGAGATCACTCATTTCCGCCAAGAGCCAGATGAGTCACTTCGTGATGCTTGGGAGCGGTACATGGGATACTTCTGGCAGTGTCCCCATCATGGATTTAGTGATGCTTTCACTGTGGGGAACTTCTACAGCGCTCTCTCCCCAGATAGCCAGAGGGTGATTAAGTCTTTATGCCCAGGAGGGGATGTTCTCACTAAGACTCCACCCGAGCTGAACCAGATGATTAATACATTGGCTGCCAGAGATCATTCCTGGGGGCAGAGCAGCAGAGGCAGACATTCCAAGGACCGTGGTGTGCACGCCATGGAGACCAGATCCGGGCTCGAGCAGCAGGTAGCTGAGCTAGTGCAGACATTGAAGCAGCCCAACAGTCTTATTCCGGGCAGAGGTTTGGCTACACCTCCAGTTGCTCAGTGTCAGTGGTGTGAGAGCTCCAGTCACCTAGTGGAGGACTGCCAGGCTATGAGGGAGTCTACCACACCCCAGGAGCAGTTGGCCTTCATCGCCAATGCGAGGCGCCTCGATCCATACAGTAACACATATAATGAGGGGTGGCGCCAGCATCCCAACTTCGCCTGGAGCAGCAACACCACTAAACCACCTGGTTTCCCAGCACCAGCAGGTGGTTTTCAGCAGAGGCAGCCCTTCCAGGCTCGCCAGGGGCCAGACCCACAGCAGCCCTACCAGCCTAGGCAGGGGCAGCCATTCCAGCAGCCCCAGCGCCAGTTTGCCGAGCCAGCAGCAGCTCCAGCCCCAGACGACAGGATGACGAAGCTGGAAAACATTCTAGCTTCATTCATGACTAGCACCCAGGCTGCTATCACATCACTGGATGCAGGTCAGCGGAACCAGGGTGCTATTTTGCAGGATCTGCAGACCCAGGTGGGCATCTTGGCCAGGCAAAACACTACCAGGGCACCGGGGACTCTGCCTGCCACCACCGTTCCTAATCCTCGAGATCCTCACCAGCATCAGCAGCTGGATGCCATTTTTACCAGGAGCGGTAAGACCATATCTGCTGATCCTGTCCCGGCCAGTCAGGAGGAACCACTGTCTGCTCCAGCACTTCCAGCCGACGATGCAGAAGTGCGGGTGGAGAAGGAAGCCCCTGCTCCCAAGCCACAACCAGTGGTTAAGGAGCATGTACCCCAGCTTCCCTTTCGCACTCGCCTACACAAGGACAAGCTGGAGACTGAGTTTGCCAAGTTCATGGCAATGTTGAAGCAGCTCAACATCAGCATACCGTTCATGGAGGCACTGTCGAAAATGCCCAAGTATGCCAAGTTCATGAAAGATATCTGCACCAACAAGAAGAAACTTGGGGATCTTTCTACAGTAATGCTCAGTGAGGAGTGTTCTGCTATCCTGCAGAACAAGCTGCCCGAAGCGCAAGGATCCAGGGAGTTTTACTATCCCTCTTACTATTGGCAGCATGCATGTAGGAAAGTCCTTGGCGGACCTAGGCGCTAGCATTAACGTCATGCCATATAAGTTGTATAAAATGCTAGACCTAGGTGAACTTAGCCCTACTAGGATGAGCATTCAGTTAGCTGATTGTTCTATCGTGCATCCTAAGGGTATCATTGAGGATCTGCTTGTTAAAGTAGGTACATTCACATATCCTGTTGATTTTGTTATTCTTGATGTGCATGAGGATGTGGATGTGCCCTTAATTCTAGGTAGGCCATTTCTTGCCACCGCCAAGGCACTAATTGATGTGCATGATGGTAAGTTGATCTTGCGTGCTGGGGATGAACAGGCTACTTTTTCTGTGACTGAGTTTGATCACTGTGCTATGATTGCTGTCACGCCTGTGCATGCTATGTCTGATCAGGTACACGAGTCTGTCGTGTACCCTTCTGCACCTCCTATTTTGCAGGACCCTCCTATCATTCCTTCGCCGCCACTCCATCCAGCCTCGCCTCCGAACAAAAAGCTCAAGGAGGAGTGGCGGCCGAAGCAGCAGGTTGCTAAGCCTGCACGGAAGAAGAGTGGAGACCACTATGAGCTGGTCCCACCTCCTGCACCACGACCACCCTGGCCGTCCGGGTACTCACTCGCCTGCATCTTGCCAGATGGGCAGGTCGAGCTGACCGATGATGGTGGTCGCATCCGTCGGGTGCATGGCCACAACCTCAAGCTGTACCTCAAGAGCGACGTGGATCCGCTCTTGGAGGCACCTGTTCCTGCACCGCCCTGAGTATCCACCATGGGCGTCCAGCTAATACGACGGTAAAGAAGCGCTTGTGGGGAGGCAACCCCACCTCGGTTTGATTTTCTTTCTTGTGTTTTGCATCGGATTGTAACCCGGTTTGGGTTTGGTTTGTTTTCTTTTGGTTTGGATGATATTTTATTGGGCTGACCATTGAACCTAACATATTGCGTCTGAGCTCTTCTGTTTCCCTTCGGCTTTGCGTGCCCCGACTGGCCCGTTTCCAGTCTCCTGCAGTCCGTGCATACCGGTAACATCGTTCCCTTATCCTTCCCTCTTCTCCATTGAGGGCAATGTCGAGCTTAAGTGTAGGGGGATGTTTATCTTTTGACTGCATTAGATCTGTTTGTGTGCTTGGAGCCTAGTCCACTGTCCAAATTTTTGAATTTGAGGGCTCCAAGTACGTGTTTCCTTGCAATTGCCTGCTCAGTATGCTTTGAATTGACAGTTTTTATAGTGATATGCAACCTAGGGAGGTAGTGTAGCACTATGGAGGATGTTGATGCATTTAAGAAGTCTCATTTCTTCTTCATATTGAGTTGGTTGATTGAGTGAATTAGTGATCTTAGGACCCTTGAATTGTGTGATGTTGTGGATTCTCTGCCTGTCATGGACTCTTGTATCATGTTTTGAAAATAACAGGTGCTCAAAAATGTGCTTCAAAATAAACGTCTCCCGTGCGAATAGGGCGAAAGTGTGTAAGGGGAGACGGGAATCCGTTCCCAATTTCCACCTACTACCTCCAGCCCCCTTACATGTCTTTCCCCCGCACGAGGCTCCAGACATCCGCTCCTGGCATGGCCGGTAAGAGCGGGTTGGGACCCTTGAAAAGAAAAGAAAAGAAAATAACAGAAAACAAGCAAAACAGAAAAAAGGGGTTCAAACCATCTTTAAGCAGAAAATATAGCACCTTGAAAAATGTGAGTCCATGATCTTTTGTTTTTGAGAATCTCTTCATCCACGATTCATTTGTCCTCGGTTCATTGTTTGCCATGATGCCGACTCGCCGAGGAAGCTATGAGATGACTTGTGCGTCGGTTGACCTCGTAAGTTGCTAATTGACCTAGGAAGTCCCCTACCTACGATCTGGGTTGTTTGTTGCTATGAAGGTCTGGAGAGTTGCATTGGTTTGAGTTAGGTTTGCTTGAGGACAAGCAAACGGTTAAGTGTGGTGGAATTTGATAACGATGTAATTGCACATATTTACGCCCCTAGTTCTTATCCGTTTGAGGGGCATAGTCGTGTGTTTTGGCCTATTTTACGCCGGGTTGTGCTATTTTGTCATGTTTCAGGTCCCAGGCGTTAAAGGGAAGGCTAACCGCGAGTTTCGGGGCATTTGGAAGTCATTTCGGTGAGCTGGAGCCAAAACACGGGCAGCCCAAGGAATTACACGGCCGTGTACTGCTGGCCGTGTTTTTTATGCCGAGAGCAAATTCAGTTTGGCCAATTCAGCTGCAAACACGGGCACCGAAGCACGGCCGTGTTTCCTCCCACTGCTGGCCGTGTAATTAAACACTGGCCGAAACACGGGCAGGCTCAGGCAAAGCACGGCCGTGCCCTCGACCGTGCTTTGGCCACTGATGCTTTTAAGCAGATTTTCAGCCACAATTCAAGGGGATTCGAGTTTTTGAGAGAGAGATCAGTTCCTAGAGAGAGAAAGTGACGAGCAAGAGTTCCCAAGTGCCCTAGATTGATCTTCAACACCATTGGAGGCCAGTTTGAGCTTGGAGAAGTGCCAATCAACGTCCAGAAGCAGGAATCCATCCTTCGCAGTATGAATTCCGTGTCTGATTCTGCTTTTGCTTTCTTCTCTATGGAGTAGTTCTCCCATTCATCTGGGTATGGAGAACCCTAGATTTGTATGTTAGGCTTTGATTGTATGAACCCAAGTACTGATTCCGTGATTGATTATATTCGATTGAGGTTTTAATGATTAAATGACTTGAATCCTGATCAAATTCCTGTTGTTTCTGCTTTAACCTAGAATGAGAATATCTGCCTAGGTTAATAGAGTATCCTTGATTGAAGGTAGGGAGTTGGTGACTTTAGTTGAGGAGCCAACTCACTATTCTGTACCGGATTTACTCCGGTAGTGGAGGTTTTGTTCTTAGGGCCTCAATCTGTCGACTCCGGTGGAGGTTAGTCGCCCGCTAGAGAGTCAGATTGAGAGGGTCTGAAGACCTTTAGTCGAGACTTCAGGCTGTTTGAGAACCTTCCGCAGTATAACTGTCATAGAAACTGAACTTGGTAATTACAATCCGGCTTAACTGCAGTCTAGGGGGAACCATATCCGGGTGACCTCTTTAACCTGAATACAACCAGTTTACTTGCTTTGTTTGTTTGGTAGTTTAGACTTGCACTCCAGTTTTATTGGTAGATAACAAGAACTCACTGAGTAGTCAGCAAATCTAGGACCCGGGTTGATAATTAAACCTAAACCCGCTATACTACGCTTTAGGAAGTGGTTACACTTGGCCAATTCCTGGAGTGACAGTAGAGTCGAGTCAAGTTTTTGGCGCCGTTGCCGGGGACGGCTAGGTTGTTGAAGAAAAGTGATTTCTGTTAATTTAGCTTTTCTTTTTACTTTGTTTTCTTTGTCCCACTTGTGCCTTCACGGGTTTGTTGCTTGAGTGTGTGCAGGTAGTGCATGACCCGTAGCCAGTCGGGAGGTTTACTGCCGTTGAATCCAGAGATTGACCGCACCTGTTGCCAGCTCAGGAGACAACAGCGAGCTAGACTGGCTACGGAAGAGCGCATAGACGGCCACCTGAGCAGCGATTCTGAAGAAGAGCACGGGATGGACGGAGACTACAACCAACACCAGGGGAATCCTCAGCAGGTTCCCCCGGTGAATCAGGTCCTGGGGAACAACCCCATACCCCAGGACCATGGAGTTCATCATCCCCCGCAGCCGGGTCCCACATTGGAGTACTACTACACTCCGCGGATTGCTGACATCCGCCCGGTCATCCTCTACCCGCCGATCCCGGCAAACAACTTCGAGATCAAGCCATGCTGGATTCAGCTCATCACATCTTCTATCCAGTTCCATGGCTTGAAGAATGAGGTGGCCAGGGTGCATCTTTCCCGTTTTCTGCAGCTGACGAACGGGTTCAAGCTGAATGGTGTCCCCGATGATGCGATCCGCCTTCATCTCTTCCCCCATTCTCTGGCGGGGAATGCTAAGAGGTGGTTGGAGACCCAGCCCCCATTTTCCATCACCTCTTGGGACGATCTGGCTGACAAGTTCGTGCACAGGTATTATCCGGCATCGAAGACTACAGAGATTCAGCGGGAGATCACTCATTTCCGCCAAGAGCCAGATGAGTCACTTCGTGATGCTTGGGAGCGGTACATGGGATACTTCTGGCAGTGTCCCCATCATGGCTTTAGTGATGCTTTCACTGTGGGGAACTTCTACAGCGCTCTCTCCCCAGATAACCAGAGGGTGATTGAGTCTTTATGCCCAGGAGGGGATGTTCTCACTAAGACTCCACCCGAGCTGAACCAGATGATTAATACATTGGCTGCCAGAGATCATTCCTGGGGGCAGAGCAGCAGAGGCAGACATTCCAGGGACCGTGGTGTGCACGCCATGGAGACCAGATCCGGGCTCGAGCAGCAGGTAGCTGAGCTAGTGCAGACATTGAAGCAGCCCAACAGTCTTATTCCGGGCAGAGGTTTGGCTACACCTCCAGTTGCTCAGTGTCAGTGGTGTGAGAGCTCCAGTCACCTAGTGGAGGACTGCCAGGCTATGAGGGAGTCTACCACACCCCAGGAGTAGTTGGCCTTCATCGCCAATGCGAGGCGCCTCGATCCATACAGTAGCACATATAATGAGGGGTGGCGCCAGCATCCCAACTTCGCCTGGAGCAGCAACACCACTAAACCACCTGGTTTCCCAGCACCAGCAGGTGGTTTTCAGCAGAGGCAGCCCTTCCAGGCTCGCCAGGGGCCAGACCCACAGCAGCCCTACCAGCCTAGGCAGGGGCAGCCATTCCAGCAGCCCAGCGCCAGTTTGCCGAGCCAGCAGCAGCTCCAGCCCCAGACGACAGGATGACGAAGTTGGAAAACATTCTAGCTTCATTCATGACTAGCACCCAGGCTGCTATCACATCACCGGAGGCAGGTCAGCGGAACCAGGGTGCTATTTTGCAGGATCTGCAGACCCAGGTGGGCATCTTGGCCCGGCAAAACACTACCAGGGCACCGGGGACTCTGCCTGCCACCATTGTTCCTAATCCTCGAGATCCTCACCAGCATCAGCAGCTGGATGCCATTTTTACGAGGAGCGGTAAGACCATATCTGCTAATCCTGTCCCGGCCAGACAGGAGGAACCACTGTCTGCTCCAGCACTTCCAGCCGACGATGCAGAAGTGCGGGTGGAGAAGGAAGCCCCTGCTCCCAAGCCACAACCAGTGGTTAAGGAGCATGTACCCCAGCTTCCCTTCCCCACTCGCTTACACAAGGACAAGCTGGAGACTGAGTTTGCCAAGTTTATGGCAATGTTGAAGCAGCTCAACATCAGCATACCGTTCATGGAGGCACTGTCGAAAATGCCCAAGTATGCCAAGTTCATGAAAGATATCTGCACCAACAAGAAGAAACTTGGGGATCTTTCGACAGTAATTCTCAGTGAGGAGTGTTCTGCTATCCTGCAGAACAAGCTGCCCGAGAAGCGCAAGGATCCAGGGAGTTTTACTATCCCTCTTACTATTGGCAGCATGCATGTAGGAAAGTCCTTGGCGGACCTAGGCGCTAGCATTAACGTCATGCCATATAAGTTGTATAAAATGCTAGACCTAGGTGAACTTAGCCCTACTAGGATGAGCATTCAGTTAGCTGATCGTTCTATCGTGCATCCTAAGGGTATCATTGAGGATCTGCTTGTTAAAGTAGGTACATTCACATATCCTGTTGATTTTGTTATTCTTGATGTGCATGAGGATGTGGATGTGCCCTTAATTCTAGGTAGGCCATTTCTTGCCACCGCCAAGGCACTAATTGATGTGCATGATGGTAAGTTGATCTTGCGTGCTGGGGATGAACAGGCTACTTTTTCTGTGACTGAGTTTGATCACTGTGCTATGATTGCTGTCACGCCTGTGCATGCTATGTCTGATCAGGTACACGAGTCTGTCGTGTACCCTTCTGCACCTCCTATTTTGCAGGACCCTCCTATCATTCCTTCGCCGCCACTTCATCCAGCCTCGCCTCCGAACAAAAAGCTCAAGTAGGAGTGGCGGCCGAAGCAGCAGGTTGCTAAGCCTGCACGGAAGAAGAGTGGAGACCACTATGAGCTGGTCCCACCTCCTGCACCACGACCACCCTGGCCGTCCGGGTACTCACTCGCCTGCATCTTGCCAGATGGGCAGGTCGAGCTGACCGATGATGGTGGTCGCATCCGTCGGGTGCATGGCCACAACCTCAAGCTGTACCTCAAGAGCGACGTGGATCCGCTTTTGGAGGCACCTGTTCCTGCACCGCCCTGAGTATCCACCATGGGCGTCCAGCTAATACGACGGTAAAGAAGCGCTTGTGGGGAGGCAACCCCACCTCGGTTTGATTTTCTTTCTTGTGTTTTGCATCGGATTGTAACCCGGTTTGGGTTTGGTTTGTTTTCTTTTGGTTTGGATGATATTTTATTGGGCTGACCATTGAACCTAACATATTGCGTCTGAGCTCTTCTGTTTCCCTTCGGCTTTGCGTGCCCCGACTGGCCCGTTTCCAGTCTCCTGCAGTCCGTGCATACCGGTAACATCGTTCCCTTATCCTTCCCTCTTCTCCATTGAGGGCAATGTCGAGCTTAAGTGTAGGGGGATGTTTATCTTTTGACTGCATTAGATCTGTTTGTGTGCTTGGAGCCTAGTCCACTGTCCAAATTTTTGAATTTGAGGGCTCCAAGTACGTGTTTCCTTGCAATTGCCTGCTCAGTATGCTTTGAATTGACAGTTTTTATAGTGATATGCAACCTAGGGAGGTAGTGTAGCACTATGGAGGATGTTGATGCATTTAAGAAGTCTCATTTCTTCTTCATATTGAGTTGGTTGATTGAGTGAATTAGTGATCTTAGGACCCTTGAATTGTGTGATGTTGTGGATTCTCTGCCTGTCATGGACTCTTGTATCATGTTTTGAAAATAACAGGTGCTCGAAAATGTGCTTCAAAATAAACGTCTCCCGTGCGAATAGGGCGAAAGTGTGTAAGGGGAGACGGGAATCCGTTCCCAATTTCCACCTACTACCTCCAGCCCCCTTACATGTCTTTCCCCCGCACGAGGCTCGAGACATCCGCTCCTGGCATGGCCGGTAAGAGCGGGTTGGGACCCTTGAAAAGAAAAGAAAAGAAAATAAGAGAAAACAAGCAAAACAGAAAAAAAGGGGTTCCAACCATCTTTAAGCAGAAAATAGAACACCTTGAAAAATGTGAGTCCATGATCTTTTGTTTTTGAGAATCTCTTCATCCACGATTCATTTGTCCTCGGTTCACTGTTTGCCATGATGCCGACTCGCCGAGGAAGCTATGAGATGACTTGTGCGTCGGTTGACCTCGTAAGTTGCTAATTGACCTAGGAAGTCCCCTACCTACGATCTGGGTTGTTTGTTGCTATGAAGGTCTGGAGAGTTGCATTGGTTTGAGTTAGGTTTGCTTGAGGACAAGCAAACGGTTAAGTGTGGGGGAATTTGATAACGATGTAATTGCACATATTTACGCCCCTAGTTCTTATCCGTTTGAGGGGCATAGTCGTGTGTTTTGGCCTATTTTACGCCGGGTTGTGCTATTTTGTCATGTTTCAGGTCCCAGGCATTAAAGGGAAGGCTAACCGCGAGTTTCGGGGCATTTGGAAGTCATTTCGGTGAGCTGGAGCCAAAACACGGGCAGCCCAAGGAATTACACGGCCGTGTACTGCTGGCCGTGTTTTTTATGCCGAGAGAAAATTCAGTTTGGCCAATTCAGCTGCAAACACGGGCACCGAAGCACGGCCGTGTTTCCTCCCACTGCTGGCCGTGTAATTAAACACTGGCCGAAACACGGGCAGGCTCAGGCAAAGCACGGCCGTGCCCTCGACCGTGCTTTGGCCACTGATGCTTTTAAGCAGATTTTCAGCCACAATTCAAGGGGATTCGAGTTTTTGAGAGAGAGATCAGTTCCTAGAGAGAGAAAGTGACGAGCAAGAGTTCCCAAGTGCCCTAGATTGATCTTCAACACCATTGGAGGCCAGTTTGAGCTTGGAGAAGTGCCAATCAATGTCCAGAAGCAGGAATCCATCCTTCGCAGTATGAATTCCGTGTCTGATTCTGCTTTTGCTTTCTTCTCTATGGAGTAGTTCTCCCATTCATCTAGGTATGGAGAACCCTAGATTTGTATGTTAGGCTTTGATTGTATGAACCCAAGTACTGATTCCGTGATTGATTATATTCGATTGAGGTTTTAATGATTGAATGACTTGAATCCTGATCAAATTCCTGTTGTTTCTGCTTTAACCTAGAATGAGAATATCTGCCTAGGTTAATAGAGTATCCTTGATTGAAGGTAGGGAGTTGGTGACTTTAGTCGAGGAGCCAACTCACTATTCTGTACCGGATTTACTCCGGTAGTGGAGGCTTTGTTCTTAGGGCCTCAATCTGTCGACTCCGGTGGAGGTTAGTCGCCCGCTAGAGAGTCAGATTGAGAGGGTCTGAAGACCTTTAGTCGAGACTTCAGGCTGTTTGAGAACCTTCCGCAGTATAACTGTCATAGAAACTGAACTTGGTAATTACAATCCGACTTAACTGCAGTCTAGGGGGAACCATATCCGGGTGACCTCTTTAACCTGAATACAACCAGTTTACTTGCTTTGTTTGTTTGGTAGTTTAGACTTGCACTCCAGTTTTATTGCTAGATAACAAGAACTCACTGAGTAGTCAGCAAATCTAGGACCCGGGTTGATAATTAAACCTAAACCCGCTATACTACGCTTTAGGAAGTGGTTACACTTGGCCAATTCCTGGAGTGACAGTAGAGTCGAGTCAGGCATTCCAAAGAGAGGGAAATCAATCGAGGAGTGATCTTGTAGAAAATATGGAGGTTACAATCGCTTTTGAAGCTAGAAGATCAAGCTTAGACATGAAGATTGAAGATTTGGAGCTTTTCATTGTATTCTCTCTCCTCTCTATAAAATAGTTCTCCTTCACTTAGGTTTTAATGAACCCTAGAAATGTTTAGCTTGATTGATGATTTTATAAGTATTGTATCTTGATATTTTATTAGTTCATATGTATGATTGATTTCATGATTCAATTATGCTTTAATCGAGATTATTGATTCTGCTTTGACTCTATGAGAGGAAATACCTTATTAGGTCAATATAACACCATGGATTGGAAGTATTGGATTGATAACATGATAGTTAGTCAATTCATTGCTTTGTACAGTGTGAGAACCTCACCCATTAGAGGGAGTCTAGTGTAGAACACTTTGATATGTTGTATTAAAGAAGCATATGTCCCTTTGAGAAATCGATTCAAGAGGATCTTGATTTCTTTAGTTGAGATTCAAGGTATAGTCAAAGACTCTCTACATTATGAATGAAGAGTGAATTAAGTTAGAGAATCGTCAATCATTAATTCGTGTTATTAGATTAGTCTTAGGATAGCTTGTAGAGTATTTTAGTTCTTTAAGAATAAATATGTTTTGCTAGATAACAAACCAAACCAAAGTAGTAGTACACCTAGAGACTCATGGATTTAATATTTTATAACTTACTTGCACCAAGTCTTTGGATATACTTGGCCATTGATCGAGACTGTAGTTTAGAGCGAGTCAATACAAAAAAGGCATATGATCAACTCAAATGGGAGTTTTTATTTGTAGTCACGAAGAGACTTGTTTTTTTCCCTACTTTTAGGTTAAATGTATATGGGCGTGTGTATAATCCATATAATTTTCTCTCATCAATGGCTCTCCTTATGGATGTTTCCACGAGCAACATGGCCTTCATATACCCCCTTATGCTTTGTTTAACCAAGATATTCATACTAAATTTCTTAATAGTCTTAAAATTCGTCTACATTACCATGTGCTCTCCCATGTGTTCTATGCAAATGACTCCTACCACTTCCTCTGGTCGTAAATTTGGCCAATTCCGTACACATAGCTGAAGATAAAATGGCTTCCCACAATATGCCCTCTCGTCCACTGGTGGTATAAAATTCTTCCCCATTGTCACCTCATATTTCCTCTCTCATAGATCACGTTACTGGGTCTTGAAAGGTGCAACTCAATTGTTCTCTCTATGATAAAGATACTTCAAGCACATAAGTAGTATTCCTCTCCCATCTTTCGGACAACGAATTGCTTTACATGACACTATGATAAATTCGAATAGTATACACTCAAATCAGATTACATGTTAGCTTTAAAAGATTTTACTCGCAATTTATCAACTATCCCCATCATCTTCGATACCTCTACCTGAAAATTCATGTGGCATTTGATTAAAGGCTTTCTCCTTTTGGAAGATGTCCTCTGTGACAAATAACTAATTGACGATGATGTGTCGGCTTTTGCCTGCCTTGTTTGCTCTACTGGCCCTAAAGTCCTCTTGGATACCTTCCTCAACTAGCAAGTAGCTTGGTTGAACTTAATCATTTGCATTTAAGGTTTCAAATTCTCGTGTGGTTGTGAGTTGACGTTGGTTTTTCTTTGGTGAATGCATCCCCAAAGCTACTGTTGGTCAACTCATCTTTTTTAATTGGAGAATTTGGAAGGTCAATGTTCAACAACCTATGAAGATATTCAATTTCTCCCAACTACTTTGCTATGTCAAATGGAGGTCGAATTATCTTAATGGACCTCCACACAAGTAGCTGATGCACACACGCTCCTCCCATTTTGGCCCTAGCATTGGTTGCAGTCTTGGGTCCCGTCTACTCCCCTCGTTGCTGCTATCATCCATTTTGATGGCTCCATTATGGATTCAGTTGTTGGAGCTATTGGTTTTGTTGGTTTCTTGGAGAATTGGTCGATTGATTTCTCTTTCGGCCACTTCAATGATTTTATCTCTAATCCCTTCATTATTGAACTCTTAGTTTTGCGGGAGAGCACTTCTACTATGCTATATAGCATTGGTGCTTTAATGTACAACTCAAAGTTGTACCATAACATTAAATGTATAAGTTTAGGTTGTACCATAAAGCAATTTGTATAATTATGTTATGGTACAACTTTACAACTTGAAGTTGTACCATCACATAAAGGTACAAGTTCAAGTTGTACCATAAGAGATTTTGTACAAAAAGTATAGGTACAATGTAAAGTTGTACCATAACGTAAGTGTACAATTTTAAGTTGTACCATAAAGGCAAAAACCTATAGCACCAATACTATATAGAATTGTAAAATTTCTCTTTGCGGGATTCCTGATTTGGGTCCAATTGTACACATTTTACCCTCATTTCTTGATAGTTTGGCTTTGTATTTCATCGTCCCTCGACCTATTTTACGCTTAGGTGTACTATTTTTTATACATTTTAGATCCTAGAGCGTGTGGGAAGGTCGAGGATGAGTTTTAGGACCATTGGAGGTCAAAAAGCGGAAGAAGATTTTCCACCTTCGCTAGGAACATGGAGGTATTTCCACCTCGCGGGCCAGAAGATTATCACGGTCACCTGACCGTGATTATTTTCCAGTGACCGTGATGTCGGACCAAAATGGCGCCACTGACCTACATTTTTGTCCAACATCACGATTTGAGCTCCAATGTCACCCCGTCAAGCGCAGACCGTGAAAGTGATCGTCGGGCTGAATAAATAGAAGGCTGATGGGAGAGAGAAAAAGAGGTTGGATCTTGGGTTAGGTTTAGATTTTCGGGGTTCCCTTCTAGGTTCCAGCTGAAGAAAACCCCAAGGTGAAACCCTAGAGAGAAAGGTCTTCTTCTTCGAAATCTAGAGAGAGAAAATGATCAACGAGGAGAGAAGAAGAAGATTTGGGCTTATTTCAAGCTAGAGAAGTGAAGATTCTGACCTCTCAATGGAATTCTCATCAACAAGGAGGGAAGACAAGCATCCACCATGGTTCTTTCTTTCATCTTTGTTTTTTTCCTTTGCCTAGCTATGAAGTAGAGTCTTCTCACTTGGGTATTGTGAACCCTAGTCTAGATGTGCGTTAGGATGTAAGAACATGACTCTATGTGTGTTGATTGAATGTTGTATATAATATTTGAGGTATTATTCATGAATGATTGAGTTTTGCTTGGTTTTACTTATTATTATGCCAATTTGACCGAGGTAGAGGGAAATCCCCTTCTTGCTAAGAGGCTTCTATAAGTTGGAATTCCTTGGCCAATTGAGCCACCTACTTAGGCCAAATTAGGGAAAACATCAAATATCGGATAAGTGCCATGATTCCATCATGATTGGTCGCCATCCACCGTCGAGATAAATTTCCAAGGGATGGGTTCTTGCAATCCTTGGTTGATTGGTTAAGAGGGCTAGATTTCATAGCTTATAGTTGCAATCCTTTGTCGAATGGCTAAGAGAGTTAGGCCACCTAGCTTCTTGTTGCTATCCTTAATCCATCGACTAAGAGAGTTAGGGTTTCATAGCTTGTTGCACCGGCCTCGCGGTTTATAAATACATCCTTCACATTAGAGTTTCGTTCATTGTTTCTTAATATGATACTAGGGGAGCAATACCCAGGTGAATTATTCTCTTATCGGGACAACCTCGATTTACTTTACTTGTTTGTTTATTTTGTTGTTTTCGTAGTTTCTAAACCCATCACCGTTTACTAGATAACAACTTAAGCGATTGAAGTAGGGGTACATCGACCGACCCAGGTTGACAATTAAAACATACTTGCACTATAGTGCACCCAGCTAGAGTTTACACTTGGGCTCTAGTCGGGGTTTTAATTCGCGGTGTAGCCCATGGTGATCTATTCCCTTCGATGGTGTTTATTGATTTAGTTACTAATGTGGTATTCTATGGTGATGCACATGTAATCATCGAGATGACTAACGCGGGGGATATGTCGCATGTTCTGAGTGGCGGTCTTCTTTTCAATCTTTAGGTTATTTTCGAGCTCTGAGTGAAACTCTTCTCTACAGTGTGTCTTGTTTCACTTCTCAACATGTAGGTATAATAAGACTGCGCATATCGTGGAAAAACAAGCTCTCTTATCGTTGGATAGTAATTTGATCGACCAATGCTTCTTCCTTAACTCTGTATTGTGATTTGGCTTGCAAATGTTCTGCATATACTCGTATCTTGCTATTTCATTCGTGGATACCTCTGGCAAAAATTAGTTTTGAATCCCGTCAGTTGGCCATAGGACATTTTTTTTGTTAATTTAATTGTGCATCATGATAATGTTTTTGACACACATGAAATCGTTGTATATTATGATGCTACAAAATTTAAAAAATATTGATGTAGTTTAGTAACTTTGTAGAATAAGAAGCGTGTCTTATGAGTTATTGTAGTAATATGAGCTAATCATGCAAGGTTGTAGAGAATTGAATGTTTTTATATAGGTTAGTAACTCTTTTCAATATAAGTTCGGCTCGTGAATGTGTGATCGTGGCCATATCTTTGAATTTTTATTTTATTTCAACATATATAAAATGAATATCATTATGCAGGTCACGAAAAATTGATTCTTTAGTGCAAAAAATATGAATTCGGAGTTAAAGGAAATAAATATGATAGAGTAAGCATAATAAGGGAATTGAAAAAGAGGAGAAAAAGTGTATTAGGTGGCACATTCTAACTGAAAATATGTTTATTTTTCTTACCTTTCTAATTGGCTAATATCTTCTTTGTTTTAACATTAAATTTTTTTTTCTTGTACAAATGGAACAAGCTCATTATGACAAGGATATCAATTTTGGATATATTTAAAGAAATATTATTTATACTACCCATTACCATTGGTTACACCCTGTTACAGTATGGTACCACTTTGTTTCACCTTCATTTTTACTTAAATTTGAATACAAGGAAAGAGTTTATCGAGATCTATTGTGATCTACCAATTTTTGGAAAAATAAAGTTTAGTATATTCCTACTATCATGTATATAACCATTATACACTATAATATATTCATACCATTATTATACACTTTTATATTACCATGAATCCATAATATAATATTGTGTACTATCAAACATTACCATCATGATATAGACTTGTAATATATGTTTCAATTTTTTTGTTCCAAATTATATCAAATGAATCTTATTTTAAATACCATGAATAATTTGATTTTTAGTGAAAAAAATAAATTCGGGCTTAAAATAAAAGATATATAACCCATATTTTAAGTTTAACCGGAAAAAGTTAGGTATTGTGACTTGTTAGCAAGGTTGTCAACCACGGGTCGACCCATTTTCATCTTGGCCCGGTGAGAAAAATTGGCCGTACGTACCCGTCGGGTCGACCACTACAAGGTACCGGGTTGGAGGTCAAATTGTGTAATTTTTTCTTTGGTTTGCGAAATGCGCTGCGATTTTTCTTTTCGCCAAACTCAAATTTTGGAATTCTAAGTTGAACATTTGAATATTGATGTTGTATAAGTGTGTGTGAATTTTCACTATATGTTGGATCTAAGTACGACATGTTATGTTGGTGTAATATTATATGTTATAACTCATATGTTATATGAGATTTGATATAATTTATCAGGATAAGTACAATATAATGACTGTTTCCATATTTTCGGGCTAAACCGGACTAAAATGGGTGACCATTAACCCTTGACCCACTAGTTCGACCAGGTCCGAATTAGCCCTCGGGTTGACAACCTTGCTTGTTAGGTTACTAATACGCGCCACCAAGTAAATGCCAGGGCTCAGCAAAAAGGTTGTCGGGGTATGGCAATCTGAATACTTCATGTTCTACAGATTCGACACTACTCCCCACTAGGATGGCAACAAAACCCGAACCCACGGGTACCCTATCCGACCCAACCCGGTCAACGTGGGTAAAATCCGTGTTGATGGGTTTTGGGTCGGGTTTAGGTTTAGACCCGTTTACTATTTACCGGATTGGGTTTGAGTTTAGGTATACCCGCCCACACCCATATAATTAATTTTTTCGGTAATTTAATATTCTAAGCAACTAATCTTCTTTATGTTATCGAGACATGCCTAATTTTTTTTCTTTATAATTATGTAGAATGAAGTTGATATTATTGAGTGGAGAGTGAAGAAGCTTAATTGACAAGGAGGAAGAAGCTTTCAGTTAATCATGTTTTTTATGGATAATTTGTGATTTGCTTCAATTTTCTTGAGTTTTCTAGATTGGTGTTGAACAATTTGTATGGTTAATTTGTGATTTGCTTGAATTTTCTAAAATTATGTTTTATATATGGATAATTTGTATTGAGAGATTAATATTTGAATTTTATTTAAATAGGAACTTGTTATTGTAAATATTTTACGACAAAACCTCATGGGCACCCATGAACCGGCGGATACCCAACGGGTTGGATTTGAGTTTTCCAAACCCAATGGGTTTTACCCGGAATTTTTTTCACGAATAAACCCATGGATTTGAGTTTGGATTTGGCAAAAGCCGACCCAATCTAACCCATTGTCATCCTTACTCCCACAAACCCAACCTCTTGCCCACAGTGTCCCACTATGAGTTCCTTGGTTGTTAAATTACAAGTCCGTTATTACTTTTCCATATGATATTTGATATAATTTATAATTTATATTATTTGACACAATAAAATTATTTTTTTATATATTCGGTCCATTAATCTTTTACACACTTACTCGATCAGACCAGATTAAACCGGGCCAAGATAGGGTGCATAATCCATGGTTATGCACCCATCAATAACCAAATCTGGATCCTTTATTTGGAAAATGCAGACCTAATGAAGGAGAATTAAAGACCATTTTTATTTTTTCTAACTTTCTTAATTGACTCATATCTTTTTCGTTTTAACTCGGATTTTAATTTTTTTTGCACAGATGAAACGATTTCATCGTGCTCTACAAAATGAGATCAATTTTCAATATTTTTTGAGAAAAAAAATTCTGGCCTCTCGGTACCAACTGCATACCATATGGTATCTTCTTCGTTTTTAATTCGTTTTTTAAAAAGTTTGCACAGAAGGGACGAGTTCATCATGATCTATTGGATCTACAAATTTCTGGGTGAACAAATTACAAGACCAAAAAATACCACACAATACCATACAATACCACCCTGGTACGGGGTGGTATTGTGTGGTATACAATGTTAAAAGTCGTAAATGACAATTAATATACTTCTACTATCATGTATTCAACCATCCTACAGTCTTGGTTTGTTCATACCACCATGATACGTTTTTCAAACAATAGGTATATTTCAATACCAGTCAATACCATATGGTATAGACTGGTAAAAAATGGCTCAAATTTTTTTGTTCGAAAAATATATTAAAGTGGATATCATTTTGAAGAGCACAATTAATATGATCTAACTGTGCAAAAAAAAAAAAAATTTCGACCTAAAATGAGTGAGAAATCGTCCGTCAAAGATTAAAGAGGGGAAAATTAAAGGCTTTCCAGGAGAGAGAGAGGATGTTGATGTCATGCTGAAGTGGACGGGTTACTCATGGTTACTCACCATAAGGTTACTCACCTGATCCATTCCCGATTAAACCGGTTGACAACTTGATTGCGTTTATATTCCCTCCGTCTCGGGAGCAGATCCGGTGAGTAACCTTGTGGTGAGTAACCATGAGTAACCCGTCCACATCAGCATGACATCAGCATCCTCTCTCTCCTGGAAAGCCTTTAATTTTTCCCTCTTTAATCTTTGACAGACGATTTCTCACTCATTTTAAGTCGAATTTTTTTTTGCACAGTTAGATCAGATTAATTGTGCTCTTGAAAATGATATCCACTTTAATATATTTTCGAACAAAAAATATTGAGCCATTTTTTACCAGTCTATACCATATGGTATTGACTGGTATTGAAATAAAAGCATACCTATGGTTTGAAAAAAATAGCATGGTGGTGTGAACAAACCAAGACTGTAGGATGGTTGAATACATGATAGTAGAAATATATTAATTGTCATTTACGACTTTTAACATTGTATACCACAAGATACCACCTCGTACCAGGGTGGTATTGTATGGTATTGTGTGGTATTTTTTGGCCATGTAGTTTGTTTACCCATAAATTTGTAGATCCAATAGATCATGATGAACTCGTCCCTTCTGTGCAAACGTTTTCAAAAACGAATTAAAAACGAAGTAGATACCATACAATACCACCCTGGTACAAGGTGGTATTGTATGGTATTGTGTGGTATTTTTTGGTCCTGTAATTTGTTCACCTAGAAATTTGTAGATCCAATAGATCATGATGAACTCGTCCCTTCTGTGCAAACGTTTTCAAAAACGAATTAAAAATGAAGAAAATACCATATGGTATGCAGTTGGTACCGAGAGGCCATAATTTTTTGTTCTAAAAAAATATTTAAATTTTATCTTATTTTGTAGAGCACGATGAACTCGTTCCACCTGTGCAAAAAAAATTAAAATCCGAGTTAAAACGAAAAAGATATGAACCGATTAAGAAAGCTAGAGAAAATAAAAATAATTTTAATTCTCCATCCTTAGATCTGAATTTTCTAAATAACGGGTTCAGATTTGGTTATTGATATGCACCCTATCTTGAACCATCCGTCTCTCTCTCTTAGTTACTTACCCCCTTCGGCCTTTCCCCTTTCCTGCAAATAACCATGTAAACAAATCGCTTCTTCTCCCACCTCGGAAAGACGGGAACTCTTCTTCTCGACTCAATCCAGTCGCATCCATGTCCATTTCCCTTTCCTTCAACCCCTAAACCAGAAGCTACCCCTTTCTCTGACTCTCTCCATCGAAACCCCTTCCCTCGAAACCATTTCCCCCTGCAAATCATGCTATCCGCTTCTGCCCATCTCATCTATTTCCCAATCTCTACCCCTCTCTCTCGCAGATATACCCTCGTCGGTGCTAACCACACCTCCGCTCGCTTCTGCTCCCGGTAGCAATTTTGGGGTTCCGATTTCCTCCACCCCCCCCCCCCCCCCCCCCCCCCCCCCCCCCCCCCCCCCCCCCCCCCCCCACTCTTCAAAATCACCCAATTCCTTCATGGAGCTCGGTGCCGGGAAGCCCAGCTTTCTGAGGAACATTCTAGCGCGGGTGCTTCTCCTCGGTGTCTTGCTCATCGTCGTCCGTTTCTCCTATGTCGTCACTATCGCAGGAGAGTCCTGCAACGTCGGCAACTTCTGCTTCTTCTCCCTGCCGGACAACTTCAATTTCGTCGCCGGGACTGGAGTCGCGAACAAAGCCGTCCGATCCCAGCCGGCTCGACTGTCGAAGAGTGATCTTTACACCAGCAAGCACTGGATAAAGTCCGTCCACTTGTACTCCTCCATCTTCCAAGATCTGATCTCCGAAGGATTCCTCTCCCCCGACTCCAAGTCCCTCTGCCTCGAGACGCCGCTGGGCCAGGACGTCTTCGCTCTCAAAGAGATTGGCGTTTCCGATGCCGTCGGGATTTACAAGAAGGCGTCCAAGCCGCTGGTGATTGCCGCAAAGTTGAACCGCATTCCGTTCCACGACGACACATTCGACTTCGTTTTCTGTGGCGGAGGTCGATTCGACGGGGTGTCCCGGCCTCTTGATTTCGCATCGGAGATTTCCCGGACGCTGAAACCCCAAGGGTTCGCGGTGGTCCATGTCAGGGCGAAAGATACGTATAGTTTCGATTCTTTTCTTGATTTATTCAATTCTTGTAAATTGATCCGGTCTCGCGATGTCGACGGCTACGATTCGTCGATGCCGTACATTCGAGAGATCGTTCTCCAAAAACACAGTCACATTCTTGGGAAATCCCCTGCCGGCGGCGGTTCGGGAAATAAGTGCTCAATTCCAGGGCACAAACTGGAGTTGGTCCATGATGCGGAGCCTCTAATCAAACAGGAGCCATTGAAGCCATGGATTACACTGAAGAGGAATATAAACAATATAAAGTATTTACCAGCAATGGCTGATATAAGCTTCAAGAATAGATACGTGTATGTAGATGTTGGGGCAAGGAGCTATGGTTCTAGCATTGGAAGCTGGTTTAAGAAGCAGTACCCAAAACAGAACAAGACTTTCGAAGTGTATGCAGTTGAAGCTGACAAGACTTTCCATGAACAGTATAAGCTGAAGAAAGGTGTCACTTTGTTGCCTTATGCTGCTTGGGTGAAGAATGAAACTCTTTCGTTTGAAATCCATCGGGATCCTGGGGAGCAGGTTTCGGATAAAGGAAGAGGGATGGGAAGGATTCAGCCTGTGAAATCATCTTCCTCTGGTGGGGGATTCGATGGTGTGGTTGATGAAATTGAAGGGTTTGATTTCGCACAGTGGTTGAAGAGGACAGTGACTGAAAAGGATTTTGTAGTGATGAAGATGGATGTGGAAGGGACCGAGTTTGACTTGATTCCGAGGCTGTTCAAAACCGGAGCAATTTGTTTGATTGATGAACTGTTTCTTGAGTGCCATTACAATAGGTGGCAAAAATGTTGTCCTGGAGTGAGGAGTCCCAAATATGAGAAGACGTATGAGCAATGCTTGGATCTGTTCACTTCTCTCAGAGAAAGCGGAGTTCTTGTTCACCAATGGTGGTGACAAATTGGGTAACATTTCAATGCCTAACCCCTTTCGTTTCGATCTTTTTGCTGCCTCAAATGCTTCAGTCATCACAGTAGCTAAAAATGTACTAGGGCTTAGTAGTATTAGTATCCTATTCTTTCTTCTTTCCACACTATATCTGTAAGTTTCAGCAGCAAATGAGAGTTCTCAAGTTCTGACTTCATTCATAACTCTTCTCTTGTTGGATTGTGATGTGTGGGAATCTGTTGTAGCATTTTGGTTTGTTAATGTGTATAGAAAGATGAACTGATTTTACAATGCATGCCTTCTTACAAAAAATAGTTGGGATGAGATTGCTGTGAGGTACTTCTGGTCTCTGGATTTGGAAAGGACGAAACAGCATTAGTTGGCATGCTAGTTCAATATGGTATATTGACGAGTCTGCTCTCTTAAGTTGTGGTGGAATGCATAGTGTTTGGAAGAAATCATTTTGAAGGTGATTGCATCGCTTTTTTACTACACTGCACGTGTAGTGTCAACTTCTTGAGTATTGAACTGTAATTTTTTGCTTGACAAAGAAAGGCCAAACTGGTACAGAATGATCGATTGCAATTTGCAGAAGCATTTTTTCATTCATTTATTCACAGAACTATTATTAAAAGTGGGCCTTTCTTCCATTTCTGATGTCTTAAATGTGATCAGGCTTATTGGTGAATGATTTTAAATGGATATTAGGATATTTTGGTTAATGTTGAGTAGGGATTCAACCATCTTATTATGTATGTGGAAATCTGGGCATACAAACAACATACTTTAACATTGAATCATAGTTGGAGTTCCAAAACAGATTAGAAGGGTGAATACCTCACCCGAGTATCTCTCTCCCAGAGATTGTAGTGCATTTGCGTGCATGATGAAATTGATAGTTTTGGAAGCTATAAATGAAATTTTGAATTAATTATACGGTTTTCGAATTATTGCATGCAGAAGTTATTGGATAATGACAAGTGAAAGTTGGACACAGGTCGAGGTAGGAGATTTTGAGCTTCAAAAAGAATAAGTAAACACACAAACACACACACATTCTCGCTTGATGCGAGGTTATTACACATAACAATATTCAACATCACGATTAAAAGAAGAAGAAAAACTCACAATAGTACTTGTTCACACACAAAAGAAAAAAAAGAAGAACAATAACAAAGTTCAGAGTTTCAATTGGAGAAGTGAAATGAAAGAAATCGGCTATGTCACGTGTCTCACTTGTCGAATACCTCTCTCAAGTCGTGGATGGGTGCTCCTCGTCTTTGGACAAGACTCCCTGATGTCGAGCTATCCGCTCCAGCAAAGTGTTGGATCTATCCAACTGTGTGGAGACCCCTGAGTACTGCTCCTTGAGGCGAGTGACTCGATCCTCGAGGTGGACTGCGGATGAGAAAGGACCGGCTCTGGCCAATGATGATGATGGTGGTGGCAGTGTAGGCTCCTAACGGCGACGCTGGTGTTGCTAGGCAGTCGGCTGCTGTGGAGGTAGTAGCTCTGGTGTTGTGAAGAGACCCTTAATGTATCGATAGGGTTCGCAAACTTGGAGCAAATGCATGGACTCCAAAGTATCCTCCTTCAACCTTGTAGTACACCCTTCTTTCATGCAACACTTGAGATCAACATTGAAATGCCGGGCAATTCTGTTGATGTACAGTCACAGATGCATGGTAGTGTTCTGGCGGTTACCCGTAGCTTTGGCAAAGGATGTGGCAAAGACAAACCCAAGGTGAAGGTGACGACTTGAGTCCTCCATGGAAGAGAAATCGAAAAGAGCTCTCTTGGTGATCTTGTTTGCCGACATAGACGATGGGTATATGGAATGGGAGAGAAGTGCGTTGATGATACACCGTTGGGGCTTGAGGGTGGTCGTCGTTGCATGTACCGCATCAAATTGGGCTCACCGGTTCTTCAGGAGGCAGAACTTCATGAAAGCGGCACGAGACTTAAAGCTTTGGATGGAATCCACTTCCAGAATGGCCTCCTAGTCCCCATCACTCCCTATAGCTTACGCAAGCTCATGAAAACTCAAACTCCGAGCCGAGCCGCCTAGACAGAAACAAATGTATGGCTTCTGATTCCTAGTTGAATCTTTTTCCTTATAGATGAAGAATGTACAAAAAAATTCAACACAAAGTTTGGCGAAAATGTCGTCCTCAATGGCAAGGAATCGGCGCCATTGGGGATGTGCCACAGCTTCACTCATTGCATCCCCATAGTTCAAGGCGTCAAACTAGTGTAATTCATGCCGCCATGAGACCTAGTTGGGGCCTTGCTCCATAATCTTAGGCCTCCTTAACATTTAGGCAACCTCAAGATTGCCGCAAGGTACGGGTGATTTGGATCAACCATCCTGCAGAACATCAAAAGCCATACACCATACGTGGAAACATTTGTTAATCTCTAATCATCGGGGAGAGAAGGACTCCCCAAACTTAGGATTCCACTATGACTGTACACCTTCAAGGCTTTTCACAAGATCGGTTCTCCAACAATTTATCTCATTTCCACACAAGACACATCGAGGCATGGTTATAGGCAATTCAAAGTTCATCAAGGTTGTAATTTCGAACCTAAACAATGCCTCGATGGCCACTAACTATCATGCATCAAATTGGATCAAACATTCATTCGCATATTGCACTTGGTGGACATTTTCCAATTCAAACACAATTCATATAAAATCTTGCCCACCAAGGCTCAATCAAGTCTACAATCACTTTATGCATCATTCAATTAACAAAAATCGACTAACCTCTCACCTAATTTCAACATCCATTCATTCAATCACAAAATCCCCTCACCTAAGAACCCTAATCTGATACTCAAAAATTAACAAGGTGAAAGTCCAAAACACACCTGGAGACTCAAGTAGGATCGAAGGGGAAGGTGATGAGACGGGGAGGGATTCGAAAAACAGGTCGGCGAGGGATTCGAAAAACAATGCCTCGATGGCCACTAACTATCATGCATCAAATTGGATTAAACATTCATTCGCATATTGCACTTGGTGGGCATTTTCCAATTCAAACACAATTCATATAAAATCTTGCCCACCAAGGCTCAATCAATTCTACAATCACTTCATGCATCATTCAATCAACAAAAATCGACTAACCTCTCACCTAATTTCAACGTCCATTCATTCAATCACAAAATCCCCTCACCTAAGAACCCTAATCTGATACTCAAAAATTAACAAGGAGAAAGTTCAAAACACACCTGGAGACTCAAGTAGGATCGAATGGGAAGGTGAGGAGACGACAAGGGATTCAAAAAACAGGCCGGAGAGGCTTGTCGGAGCTTCGTCTGAATCTCGCCAAAAGCTCACCAGAAATTGCTCTGCCAAAATAAATTCGAGCCAAATCGTCCCAAAACTTCGGTGAAGGGGCGCCCATACACAAGAAGTATGGTTTGGTTTTGGTTTTGGAAAAGGACAGCCGGAAGTCAACTAACTCCACGGAAAACAGGTTGAAATCCTGATTTTTCGGCGAGGTTCAGAGGATTCCGATGAAAATATGTTTGTGAAGAAGGGGGATCATGGTCCCCTTTTTATAGTACGATCATGAGGTTCACGAACGGAGGTTGATTTTTACGATCGTTAAGACTGTGAAAATAACTCACCAACCGTGATCTGGAGCAAAAACGGTGAGTTTTAGCAAAGTGGAACTGCTCTTCGAGATCACGGTCTCCGCCTCATTATCACGGTCTAATGACCGTGTTAATAGAGCTAAAACCACGAACTGATGAAAAACAGTGTGTTTTCCAAATTTTCAAGACTCGATCTAATCAACCGTGCCCCTAACTCAATCACAAAACATCCAAAACATTCAAACACAAAGCTCTGGCATGGTGATCACCATTCAACCACTTGAACTTTTCACTGAATAAAAAAAATAAGGAAAAGGAAACAAACCTACATTGGGTTGCCTCCCAACAAGCACTAGTTTAAGGTCCCTAGCTCGATGTTGCAGATGTTTCATGCTTGAGAGAACGAGGCGTCCAAGAGTGGATCTGCCACGGCCTAAGGGCAAGGCTTGTCACCTCCCCTAAAGCTCCAAAGGATGACCCTCTTGGCCTAGCACCTTCGCTTTCCCCTTTTCCTTTTTTTTTTTTGGTACCCGCCTTAGGTCCATGTTTCACATTATCACAAGGAGAAAGAGCACTAGTGGGGTTTGCCTTGAGTTTCTCACGTCCACTTCTAAACATACCATTCGATTCCACTTCTTTAACATCAACATTATCACTCTTAGGGTCAACCGAAAATGTAATTTGATGCTCTCCGTCTCTTATGATCGAAGTACCCTCATCAACATTAATTAAAGCCTTGGCGATGGCAAGGAAAGGGCGTCCTAGTTTGAGGGGCATATCCGCATCTTCACTAATGTCAAGGATAAAAAAATCCATCGGATAATAAAATGTGCCCACCCTCACTAGAATGTCTTCCACAATACCCCTAGGGCTAATCACCGAGCCGTCAACCAATGTAACACTCAACCTAGCGAGTTTCAATTAACCTAGGTTCAATTTCTTGTAAAGCTTAAATGACATGGCGTTTATGCTTGCTCCTAAATCCGCCAAGGAATTTTCTATATGACATGTTCCGATGCAAAGAGGGATAGTGAAGTTACCTTGATCTTGTTGCTTTTTAGGCAACTTGTTTTGAATGAAGACCGAGCACTCCTCACCCAAGGTGACGGTAGCGAGGTCTTCAAAATTTTGCTTATTTGCAAGAAGCCCTTTAGGTACTTGGAATATCTTGGCATGTACGCCATTGCCTCCAAGAAAGGAATTGTGATATGGAGCTTGTTGAGCATCTCCATGAACTTTCCACACTCCGCCTCCAAATGGTCTTTGTGCACCCTTGTAGGGAAAGAGAGAGGAGGATCGTACTCAGACAGACAGACACTAGTGGTGGCGTTGGCGATGCCTTCTTAACCTCACCATCCTCTCCTTGCGAGAGTTCTTTTTCATCGACCTTTCGAGGATCCTCTTTTTCTTCAATTACCTCCTTAGCAACAACATCCGGAGTTACCTTCCTGCTCCTCAAGAGAATAGCATTGCCATTGGAATTTTGATCTTTGGGGTTGGAAATAGTTTGGGTAGGTAGAGCTCCCATTGGTCTCTCGATAAGGATCCAAGCAAGATTGCCGATTTGAGTCTCCAAATTCTGCAGACTTTCTTGATGGCTCCTTAGACCTGTCTTAACCGAAGTATACTTATGTGTTGCTACATACATGAATTGCTCAATCTTCTCAAACTTTTGTGAGCTTGTACTCAGAAAGGTGGTAACTAGGTTTTTGAAAACTTGTTGGGTTTTTGTTGGAACCCTTGACCTCCTTGCTGTTGGAATTGTTGTTGTTGGAAGTTCTATCCTTGGAGCCTTTGTTGAATGAAAGGAGGTCTTGGTTGATAATTCCCCATCGACCATGGAAAATAGGGGGTATTGGATTGCTCGGGGAATACCATGCGAAATTTGGATGGTTTCGCCACCCTGGATTGTAAGTGTTGCTATAGGGCTTGTTGTTGTTTCCCCTAGTATTGGCAATGAAGCTTACTTGCTCTTCTGGAGTGCTTGTTTCCTTCATTAATTGACACTCTGCAATCTCATTGTTGGTACTCTAACACCAATCACACGCCATCGCTGACTTCTTATCCTCTAGAAGTGAAATTATTAACTGGTCGATCTTTGTGGCGAGCGGAGGAATCACCTCTGTGGAGGGTAATCCTCTCTCGACACTCCTTCTACCACGCCTCGTCAAACCCCAATGATACCCTTTTTCACCATATCTTCAAGAAAAGTGGTCATCTCGGGTGGAGTCTTGTTCATCAAGTTCCCTTGACATAGAGAGTCAATGAGAATCTTGTCTTATTGGAGAAGACCATCGTAGAAGGTTTCGATCCGAAACTGCCCTCCAAATCCGTGATATGGACATTGGAGGAAAAATTCAGAGTACCTCTCCCATGCATCCCTCAATAGCTTGTCTTCCTCTTGAGCGAAGTGGGTGATCTTCTTGCGCAACTCTGTCGTCTTGGAAGGTGGACAATATCAGGCCATGAACTTGTTGAGCAAGTCGTCCCATTAGGTAATCGATAGGGGTGGTCTATTGTTGAGCCACTTGAGCGCTTTCCCAACAAGAGACTAGGGGAAAAGCCTCAACTTCAAAGCCTTCTCGGATACCCCATCGATCTACAAACTTCTTACAATCTCGATGAATCTATGGATATGCTACCTTGGAGACTCATCCTTATGCACATGGAACTGGACGTTGTTCTGGATCATTGTGATGAGGTCGGGTTTAATCTCGAAATTGTTGGCGGCCACGGGTGGATGTAAAATGGTTAGTTGGATATCTGCCGCCGTGGAGCCATATCGTAGCCCATGGTCCTCGGTTCCTCATTTGTCTATTGGGCGTTATGATTCTACGCCATCTCAGCTTCAATTCCTTCCTCGTCAACTACAACTTCTTCTTCAACTCGGGACCAACTTGTGGTTTTCCCCTCTCCTCTATCCTTCTTCTTGCTTCCGCCGGCTCTCTCTCATGAGCCAAGAATCGGAGAGTGTGGTTGAGGTTCTCGTCTAATGGCACACAAAGGTGTCGGATTACTCCGGGTCGTACACCCTCCTACACACACTCCAAAAAAAACACAACTCGGGCTAACACAAGCAAGTTTCACAATCAACAAAACAAAAAGTAAATAATAGATTAACACCGAACAATGTTTTCAAAATAACGGACCAAATTTCCCTGGCAGCAGCGCGAAAAACTTGTCTCGTCTCGAATACCACAATTTAAATCCCGACTTAGGCCCAAGTATAAACTCTAGTCGGGTGCAATATAGGGCAAGTATGCTTTAAATGTCAAACTTGGGCCGGTCCATGTATCCATACTTCAACTGTTTGAAACATTATCTAGGAATCGATTTTTGGTTAAAACTATAGACTATAACTAAAAGCAATTGGAAATGTAAATGGTTTTGAACATTAATTGAGAAGGCTTTACCCGGGTGTTGCTCCCCCTAGCTAGTAATCATGATTCGCCGAACAAAATGCAAGTGTGTGGTATAAGTGGTTGTAAACCATAGGGAAGCGCAAAAAGTGAAAATGCTTCACTCTATCGGTCATTAGGCCAAGGGATATCAAATCAAGCTACCAAAGTAGCTCTCTTGGCCAATCGACTAAGGGTTGCTTAGGCTTCTCCCTCGAACCATATTCCGGACGACCAAAATACAACCACCCAAGGTGCTAAAACGTAGTATGAGGTTTGCCTTATGACTCATCCCGAATATCACAATAAAAATCCCGATTAAGGCCCAGGAATAAACCTTAACCAGGTGCAATATAGGGCAAGTATGTTTTAAAAGTCAAATCCGGGCCGTTGTCCATGTACCCCTAATTCAATTGTTTGAAACATTATCTAACAATCAGTTTTTGGTTAAAACTATGGTTTATAACTAAAGCAATTGGAATAGTAAATGGTTTGAACACTAATTGAGAAGGCTTCACCCGGTTGTTGCTCCCCCTAACTAGTAATCATGATTTGTCGGATCGAATGCAAATGTGTGGTAAAGGAGGTTGTAAACCGTAGGGAAGCGCAACAAGTGAACAAACGTCATTCTCTCAGTCACCAGGCCAAGGGATTCCGAATCAAGCTACCAAGGTAGCTCTGTTGGCCAATCGCTAAAGGTTGCTTGGCCTTCTCCCTCGACCCGTAGTCAAACGATCAAAATACAACCAACCAAGATGCTAATACGTATTAAGAGGTTTTCCCTAATTCAACCTAAGTAGGTGACACAATTTGGCCAAGGAATTCCAGCTTTTACAAGTCTCTTAGCAAGAAGGGGATTTCCCTCTACCTAGGTCAAAAATGGCATAAGAGTTGGAAATGCAAAAACACAACACAGCCTTCATGAAAATACCTCATAACTTGTATTAAAACAAAACCACACACAAGTCATTCAATCCATACATGCATTCACATAATTCTAGCTAGGGTTGACAAACACCCAAGTGAAAGAAAGGACTACTCCATGCTAAGCAGAGGGAACACACAAAGAAGAAGAGAGAAAACCATATTGACGATGTTTGCCTTCTTCCTTGTGGTGTGGAGATCAACCTTGGAGGAAGGAATTCCCAAAACTTTGCTCTTGGATGAAACCCTAACTTATCCTCTTCTATTGTTCGTCATTTTCTCACTCTAGAAATTTGAAGAAGAAGTTTCTCTGACTAGGTTCTCCCTCCTTTTCTCTTTCAGCTCAGCCGTCGTTATATACCCAGATCAACGGTATTTCAGGGTCCCAGTTCACAACTGTGAACATTTGGCTTGGACCGTGATGTTGAGCAAAAGTGCGATGTTTCATTAAGGTGCATCACGATCCGGAGCTGGTTTTCGCGGGCGGGTGACCATGAATTGCTAAATGCCTGCGAGGCATACAAAACCCTCCTGGACTCCACGTGCTTCACGGCCCGCGCCTCTTCTTCATTTTTGGCTGACCATGATCTTCTGGCCTCCACCGTGAACTGCTGTTGTTTGCTCCCTTTTGACCTGTTTTTGCTCCTTTTCGTCCAATTTTCATCCCATGGGTGATTTCACCTGCTAGGATCTAAAATATACTAAAAACAACCACAACCTAGCGTAAAACCGAACCTCACGAAGCAAAAGCGCCTCAAACATCTATGGAAAACGGGGGAAATTTTGTCCAATTAGACCCGAATCACCCTAATACGCCCTAAGTAGGTGGCTCAATTTGGCCAAGGAATTCCAGCTTTTAAAAGCCTCTTAACAAGAAGGGGATTTCCCTTTACCTAGGTCAAATTGGCATAAGAGTTGGAAATGGAAAACACAATACAATCTTCATGCATATACCTCAATACTTGCATTAAAACACAATCACACACGAATCATTCAATCTATACAAACATTCACATAATTATAGCTAGGATTCACAAACACCCAACTGAAATAAGGGAACTACTCAATGCTAAGATGAGGGAATACACAAAGGAGGAGAGAAAAGATCATCTTGAGATGTTTTGCTTCTTCCTTCGGTGTGGAGATCAACCTTTGAGGATGAGATTCCCAAATCTTGGAGCTTGGATGAAACCCTAACCTTCTTCTTCCCTCTTGTTCATCACTTTCTCTCTCTAGAAATATGAGGAAGAAGAATTTTTTCTCACACTAGGGTGTCTCCTCTTCTTTCAACTCAACTCCCCTTTTATACCCAAGTCGACGGCTTTTCACGATCCCAGTTCACGGCCGTGAACTCCAAGCATGGATCGTGATCCTTGGCAAAAGCGCATCGTTTCACTTAAGCTCATCACGGTATGGAGGGAATTATCACGGTCGAGTGACGGTGATTTCAGTTAGGTCCGCGAGGCGCGCGGAATGTTTTGGTTCCTCTGCACTTCACGGTTGGGGCTCCATTATCACGGGCAGACTGATAGTGAAAACTAGGATTCCACCGTGATCCTCACTAATTCCTCCCTTTGATCCGTTTTCACCCCTTTTTGTGCAACTTACATTCCCAAGGTCGATTCCACCTGCTAGGATCTGAAACACACTAGAAACAAGCACAACCTAGCATAAAACCGAACATCACGGAGTGAAAACGCCTCAAACATCTAAAGATCAAGAGGGTAAAATGTGTGCAATTGGACCCGAATCACTACTATCGACTATGGAACAATCATCATGAACTTTTAAATTCAATGCATTCCCCCACACTTAAGAGACACATTGTCCTCGATGTGGGAGCAATATGGATGGTTCAAGACATGTTACCATAGGGGTTTCTGGATTGAGGGGAGGGGTGCACAAGTGTAGGTCTTCATTGATCTAGACATTTTTCACTAAGCACACACAAAAAAGAGGAAGAAACGACTATCCGAACCGAAAACATATATACTAAACTGCCACAAACATATAATGTATTATACATGGTAATTATTTAAGTCTAAGTACTAATTAAAGTCGAATAAAATAAAAAGAGAAATAAAGAAAAGATAGAAATTGGCCCTCAATGCAAAGTTGCCTTTGATGTACGCTTGCATCGTATGGTAGTTGCACTTCGGAGGCTCTTTCTTGTTTGGATGGTCCATCATAGTCCATAGATTCCTCCGTTGGTTGATTTTTTGTGCTTGCTATGGTTGCTCCCCGATTCTTCTCTTGGGACTTGGGGTTCTTCTCATCAATGGCAGTTTCGGTTTCTTCGTTGTTGATGGCTAAGAGGAATAAACCTCTTACCTATGTTTGAATCGCCCTCATAATAGAATAGTAACAAAACATAACCAAACAAACCATTAGCAACTCACTTGAGCAATTGAACAATTAAATTCATCCTTAGGCTCACTCTATACACCCCCACACTTAAGTGGTACATTGTAGAAACTAGAGGTGCATAGATAGAAATCCATGTTGGAATGACTAGGATCGAGGCCTAAATGCATAAAAACAAGGGTATCATGTCTTTCTAGAGGTTTTTGTTCCTAGACCGAAGGCTAGAATCAACTTATTAGACAACAACCAAGGTTTTAACTAATGGCTAAAAGCATATTGACCCACACAATCGAAGGTAAGCCGAAGTTGCAACCTCAAGGATCATGCGCCAAAGATTCAATCTAAAGTCATAAACACACTCCCAATGGCCTGTCTTAATAAAAATAGTTCAATTGAAAAGCAATGGGTCAAGAAAAACAAGATTTATGTGGTTTGGGCATTTCATCGAACACTTGGTGGGCGACAATCAAACTCCACAAATTCATTAAAATAAAGAGCACCAAGGCCTCCAATCACACATATGCATTCATAAGCATACATTTTATGATCCTATTGCACTAGCCCCTAAGTGGCTTAGTTGCTAGACTAGTACACATGATTAGCAACAACAATATTTGTGACCATTCCTTAAGGACCTACATAGTCTCCAAACAATAATTCATGTATTTCTTTACATAGAATGGATTCACTGACTAGCTAAAAATATAGATACTACTTAAAGCAAAATCAAACATGCTAGTTATTATTGGAAAAAGGTAAAGGAAATGCAAACTGGTTGTTGGGGTACCTCCAAACAAATGTGTCTTTCACGTCTTATCGTCGGACGCTTGCCTTCAAGTATTCAGTCCAGCTTAGGACCTCCATGAAGTTGAGGTTCTTGTCGGTGAGGTGGTGTCTCAAGACGCTAGCATTGGATGCTTCAAATTATCTAAATGACTCGTGGACTTGATGAAATTTTAGTCTCCACCTACGAGAACTCTTCTCCTTCACGTCCTTCTTCCTTCCTCACAACCTCATCTATGTTCCCTTCCTTATCCATTAATACTTGTTGATCGGGAACAATGATGGCCTTTAAAGCAAGCTTTTCAATAGATGGATCATCAATGTTCTCTTTCTTGTCCACCCTCGAGAGTCGAGACTCCTTCCTCTTCTAACACGTCCTTTTCACTTCATTGATGGTGTCCAAGAGGCATTCTAGATTGAGTCTCAAACATAGTTGTTTAAGATCTCTCTCTTATCTTCCAAAGTCTTCATGTTCAAAGAGGAGTTCTCAAGGAGAAGAGTTGAGACCTCCTATGTTGGGAGGTTTCCCTTCCGTCTCCACCTCTTTGATCCACTTTTCTTCTCGATTAAGGTCTTTGATGCAGAAGCACCCCAGAGGAATGTTGGGATGGCTTATATCTATGCACTCCATTGGGAATTTGAAGCGCTCGTATGCTAGCTCTATTATGCTTTTGGACTTTGGTGGTGGTGGAAGATGAAGTGCTATCTCACTCCAGGCCATGAATTCTTCAAATTCGAGCTCCAAGAGGCTTTTTGGTTGTGGGATTGGAGTAGGGTGAGTTGTTTCAATGCCCTCCACACGATTCATACTTGATTTAAATCGCTCAAGGGCCATGTCCAACTTGGTCTTCACACCTAGGTTGTGGATGTGGTTCTTGATATGATGTTGGTGTAGCTTTGTAACCATGGGGGTATGATTGGTGATTATGGAGAAGTGGTTCTTCTTGAAACAGGGATCCTTGCCCTTCATTTCTACTTGAAGTACCAGGGTAACACCATTCGATGGACGGTTGATATGACCAATACTCTGTTGAAGTTATGGGGGTCCATGTTTCAATGGCTAGAAACACCAAAAACACTAAAAAGAAAATCAAACACCCACAAACTACCCTTAGGGGAGAAGAGTAGGTAAACAAAGCACAAACCAACAGAAACTACTACACTAATATAAAAAAAATAAGAATGACTAAACTAACAACCTAACTCTTTCAACTAGTTACCTTAAGTCCCCAACAATGGCACTAAAACTTGATGCGTCACTGACTCGCTAAAACACAACTTCTAACAATGGCCAAGTGTAAACAATAAAAGGGACTGCAATATAGTGATACAAGTAATAAATGTCGAATCGGGTCTCTAGAGTTACTATTACTCAGCTTCAATTCATTATCTAGCAAACCAGAATAAGGATTGATTAACTAAATTACTCTACTAACTAAACTAAGGTTACACTACTAATTACAAGTTGAGAACTCACTTAGGTATGATTTCTCCTAATCTGCAGTTAGACCAAGTTGTAATTCACCCAATCCAATTCAGTTGAGGGATATACTGCGAAAAGTTCTTGACAAGCTTGGAATCTCGACTTAAGTAAACCAGACCCTCTTAGCTTGAATACCCGGGGAGCAACTAACCTCAACCAGGGTAAGCTAACCAAAGCAAGAACACACCAAACTTCCTTTACTGGCTTCAATTCCAGTACACAGCAGTGAATCGACTTCTCAACTAAAGCAATCGATTCACTACTTCCAATTCAGGTTGCTCTATTTACCTATACAGAGACTATCATTCTAGGTTAAAGTAGGAACAACGGAAATTTGATCAGGACTCATGCAATTCTGAATAAAAAACCTCAACTGAATATAAAACGTCAATCAATCATGAATTTGAGTTCATACAAATCTTCATAGCATACAAATCTAGGGTTCCTCAAAACCTACGTGAAGGGAAGTTACTTCATAGAGAAGAGACAGAATGCATAAATCCGATCTAGATCTTCAATCTCCATCTCCAAGCTTGATTCCCGAGCTCCAATGGTGAAGAAATCCTCCAAAATATCTCCAAGAATGATCCCAAGGTGCTCTCTCTCTAGGGTGCGTCCCTTGGGTGTTTGGGATCCAAAACCCAGTTCTCCCTCTTCAAAATCCACAAAACGCATTTATATAGCTCCCAGAAGCCAAGTCACGACCCCAAGTTATGACCATAACCTTTAAGGTTCAGGCCATAACCTCCGAAATGTATTATGCCTCATATGGCCCCGAGTACGGCCAAATGGCAATGTTATGGTCACAACCGTAACTTTGAAGGCCATCACGTAACTTTGGATCATCGATAGAGGACTTCCTAGGTCATTTAGCAGCTTACGAGGTCAACCAATTTTCTAAGACATCCCATATCTCTCTCAATGCGAGTACTAGACTCAAGCCAGGATCATGCCAAGTAGTGGACCTAAGACATGCAATTCATGGATGAAGAGACTGCTCCAACACAACAACCAAGGACTCCTCGTATTGGGTGCTCTTCTATTCCATTTCTATCATTGGAACCCCTTTTCCTTACTATTGTTTTCTTTTTCTTTTGTTTTTTCACATTCACACTTTGTTGGGGTTCCAAACTATAGTTTTTATGTGCGTTCGACCCTTATTTGTTGAGCAAGAGCAATTTCTGTATATTTGTCGCTCGCCAGAGTACTTCTTTTAACTCCTTTTCCTCAACTCGTGCAGAGGGTCAATGAAATTGAGGGGCGTCGGAAGCTCTATTTGTGCCCTTACTATTGTTTTCTTTTTCTTTTGTTTTTTCACATTGACACTTTGTTGGGGTTCCAAACTATAGTTTTTATGCGCGATCGACCCTTATTTGTTGAGCAAGAGCAATTTCTGTATATTTGTCGCTCACCAGAGTACTTCTTTTAACTCATTTTCCTCAACTCGTGTATCTGGTCAATGAAATTGAGGGGGGCCAGAAGCTCTATTCGTGCCCTTAAAAACACATCCTCAAGTAGGCAAAACGTTCAAAGGGTGGAATTTTTACTTGTACTAGAGATGGCTTAGTTTCACCTTGTAGGCCTCCCCCACTAAGGATCACTAAAATCTCTTCCAAAACCTGACATTATGCAATGAACGGCGCCACACACGTTGGGCTTACCCCATGTTTCAAATTTAGAATTTCCAACATGGAGGACCAACTGCTTCTAATTACGCACAATTGAGCACCCTTTTACGATACATGAGTCCAACACAACACAAGGAGGGTTATCGATACCACATGAATCAAAGGTCCTAAAGCCACTAGTTCACACAATCAACCGGCACAACAAAGAGAAAGATACGACAGATCTTATACTTCAGCATCCTCCATAGTGCTACTACTACCTCCCTAGGTTGCATAGTACTATAAAAGTTGTAAATTCAAATCATACAGAGCAGGAAATTGCTAGGAACACGTACTTGGAGCCCTCAAATTGTAAAATTTGGACAGTGGACTAGGCTCCAAGCACACAAACACAACTAAGCAGTCAAAGATAAACACCCCCCACACTTAAGATCGACATTTCCCTCAATGGAGAAGAGGGAAGAATAGGGAAAACGATGTTACCGGGAAGAACAGACTGGAGATGGGACCAGCCATCATGAGCAGCCTGGAAGAAGCACCGGTTTCTGAGAATCATGGTAAGACAAAACACAATCACTCACACTAGGTAAGAGTTAGGATAACAATTGTCAGCCCCATGGCTTCTAACAAAAGAATGGAAAAATAAAACACAAAAATATCCAGTTCGACACACAAAAACAAAGACACAAAACATAACACATGGAGCCCGCGGTCAAGGGGCGGTCTCAATCCTCTTCATCATCATCTCAAGTATGCAAAGGATGCCAGAATGTATGGGCGGTGTCAAAATCAGCCACCACCGAGCACAGACGTTGCAGTAGGAGAGAGTAACGGCGGGCTTCACGCTCATGATCCATGCGCGTCTCAATCCGATCGAAGCCAGCATCCATGGCCACACAACTGTCGCCGGACGGTGCAGCTGATGATGAACCGAGGAAGAACTGTAGCGGGTTGAAATAAGGATGAAACAGTGGAACTCCATCAGCGACAGGAGTCTCAGCCTCTACCGCCTCCGCAAACTCCTCACGGCGCAGACCCTTGATCCAACTGATCCGCGGGTTCGTCCTGGCGACCCGAAGCAGCCCCATGGAGTAAAGGTCTTATTGGGGAAGTCCCGGGTGCGCTCAACCCAATTGAAACCGTCAATTATTCATCTATGAGTAATTTTACTCAAAACCAAGTAAACTCATTGATTATGGGTAGGGTATGAGTAAAGTCATAATATGTTCGAGGTTTTGGAGTAGGGTTTGGGTAGAGTATGAGTATTTATTTCATTCTCTAAATGGGCATGGATTAGTGATGGATGCCCATTTACTTGATGTTGTTTAGCTACTCATACAAAATTGGAGTTATTTATAAAAACTTAAAAAGTTTAGGTATCAAAATGTAAGACACAAAAATTTTAGGTACTCAAATATAATTTCTCAACGATACTTTGACGACTTATACTCAAAAAATATTTTTAGGTATTAAATCTAAAATCTATAAAGTTTAGGTACCAAACTATAATTTGCGTATTGGATATGGGTACAACCCAAATCCAAGGATTAAAGACCCAACCTATCAAACTCTACCCATTTACCTTGTATTTGGGTTCATACCCAACCCTATCGGATTGGATAAGAAAATATCCATGGATTTTGTTAGAATTGCCACCCTTGGTAGGGTTGCATGCAAAATGCAAGAAGAGACGGCACTAGAAGAGGAGAGCAAATTGGTATATAAACTTTTGTGGGTGTTATTTTGTTCCGTCCTAGCTAAGACTTATAAGAGTTGGAATTACTTTGGTTTTACTTTTATTTTTTAAAATTATGGCGGATAGAAGCTTGGAGACGATCATCTAATTCGAGCGCTCAATCATTCAAATTGATATCCGACCGTCAGATTCTCAAAAGGAAACAAAATCCCTCAACTGGGCCAGGTTGGCGACCATTTCTGTTGGACTAACCTACTTGATTTTATTTTAACAACACTAAAATTATGCTTTTTTAAAAAAAGAAATTTTTCTATAGTTTCAATCATTTTATCTCTTTCTTTTTCTTGTTTATAATTTTTTTCCCTTGTGCTGTTACATGTAAAAGTCAAGATGTAATATATATTTTCCTAGTTATATCTAGTAGCATATCAGCATTTTTCCACCCTTGTCCCATGGATGCTATCCGACATCACTAGACTATTTTGTTGCTAGATATCTGACCTACCCATTTCTGTTCCTGTTGAAAACAAAACACCATAGGAAAATTGACCATTGATCATAGAAGAAAAAAACATAGAGGCATAATACAGTTTACGAAGGACACACCATTTTCCGTTAATAGAACGATAACTGCGGGTTGATTGAATTAGTGAAGCCATCCTTCAATGATCGATAATCAACTTTTTCCCCAAATAACTTCAAAACGTTAATCTCTTGTACTCTTTTTGTTTCCGGTATAGTCTAATTTTTGTCAATCGTTCCTAATTAAAACAATAATAGAAACGAGCTTAAATTGTATGTATGTATATAAACCATGGCGTTCAGTAATTTCCGGCTTTGCAAGTTTGCTCTTCGTTTGCTAAATTTGTAAGCCATCCAATTCCCTCTGTTTGCCATTGCCCCTTGCCGATGGGGGGCGCGTCATCGCTTCCATCAGTCTGCCTCATGTTTTATCAGGAAAAATAGGTGAAATTTTCTTTGAGCTCCCGTTGCTTACTTCTCCTCAGGCTCCGTCAAAATTTGCAATGGGAGCCTGTTGTAGCACTGAGATCCATTTTGGACCTGAAGAAGCTGAGGACCCAAAAGAGCAAAATGAATATGACGTCGAGAGCAACGCCGGTGATGATGATGTCTTCGTCGGCGATGATGGTGCTCGCATTCGCCTCCATGGAGCATCCAAATTCATCTCCATGTTCACGCAACAAGGGAAGAAAGGGGTCAATCAAGATGCCATGACGGTCTGGGAGGTAAAGCTGCTCTATGTTGATTCAAATAATACAAATTTCGGGATTACAAGGGTTTTTTTATTGAAATTGAGGGTTATTTTTTTTGTTGCAATGGGTGTGCCAGGAATTTACGGGGGATAAAGGAATGACATTGTGTGGTGTGTTTGACGGGCATGGGCCTTATGGTCACAAGGTATCAAGATATATTAGGGACAATCTGGCATCAAAGCTGTCGTCGGGGATTAAATCGTTGCAGCTTAATAACTTGGATAGCAGCGACATTAGTCTTAGCAGCGATGGGGATAGTGATCACGAGGCTAGCAACCCAAAAGATGCCAAAGGTTCCTTTCTCTTGTCCTCTGCGGAAACCTGTTTGATGAATTGCTTCAAAGAGATGGACCAAGAACTCAGCCTCGACGCAAGCATTGATAGCTACTGCAGCGGTGCCACTGCTGTTACTGTAATTAAAAAGGTACAAGCCCTAAACAACAAATCAATAAATTTTGGTTTTTCTCCCATAAAATTGAATGATTGATTAATTGATTTGTTCATATTCAGGGAAGGCACTTGTTGATTGCAAACTTGGGAGATTCTAGAGCGGTTCTTTGCAGCAGGGGAAACAAAAACCAGCTAATCCCAGTCCAACTCACCGTGGATTTGAAACCCAGTGTCCAAAGTGGGTCTCTTTATCTCTTTGATCTACATTTCATGGTCTCGGTATTTTATTGATCTTCATTGGTTCATTAATTCTCTAGGCGAAGCGGAAAGAATTAAGAAGAACAATGGCAGGGTATTCGCCATGGAAGAAGAGCCTGAGATATTTAGAATATGGATGCCTGATGAAGACTGCCCTGGTCTGGCCATGGCAAGAGCATTTGGAGATTTTTGCCTTAAGGAATACGGCCTCATCTCGACCCCTGAAGTCTCTTACAGGAGGCTCACAAACAAAGACGAGTTCGTGGTCCTAGCCACCGACGGAGTAAGCAAAAAGCCCAAAAGCATCCATCATTCCATTTATTATACCATTAATTAATTAATCTCGAATATTCTCACTTCGCGTTTTTAATTTGAAGATATGGGACGTGTTGACGAACGAGGAGGTGATAAACATTGTCGCATCAGCAAGGAAGCGATCAATGGCGGCAAAATTACTGGTTAAATACGCGGTCCGTATGTGGAGAATGAGACACCCAGGCAGCAGAATTGACGATTGCGCGGTGGTATGCTTATTTCTAAAGAGCAAAACGATATTGACGAGGTCATTTTCAGAGGTAAGCCGGGTGAGCGCCAACCACACAGAACTAACAGAAAACTTCTCGGAAGTTAGTAGAGCAAGTGTTCATCACTCGGAAATTGCAGCCGTGCCGCAAAAATCCAGAACCGTGAGGCAACATGTGGGTCGCCCGCCTGTGGCTGTGGGACATGATCACACTAATAACACTAGCAATAGCATCTCAGAGTCTCAGCAAGGCAGTGATGGAGTGGCAGCCTGCAGCCCTGGAATGAGCAGACCGGACTCGTTCGCAGTGGCGTCTTCCACAGGAAATGGATTAAGCCAAAGAAGAGCAGTGAAATCAATAGAGCTTGTTGAAGCTTAACCCAGTAAACCAAAACCCCTTTGTTTGACCCTTTCCCCCATTTTTATGCTCTAAATTTATTTAATTTTCCTCAGATCCTGAGGACTGGCAACAATTTGGCTCAGGGGGTATATTTTTAGAGGAAAAAAGGAAAATGTATACAACATTTTTTGCAATCCGTATTATTTTTGGTTGCAATTAGTGAAAGAAGCAAGCATTCCCGAAGCATTGGGCATTTCCATCTCGCCACCGCCAACCACTTATTTATGGCATATGATTTTTTACAATGGAGCTTTGGCAAAAGTGCTTAGAGTCTTCATGCACCCAGAGACCTGCCTGCCACTATCCTCAAAGGCACAATGCTCTCGTTGACATACAACTCTTCCCCATTTAGTACCCGACAAGATAATGAGCTCGTGAAAGTTTAGGTTCTTTTGATCAAAGTCGCGCAGTCAGTATAGAGGTAGGCTCGAACAATATAAGGTAGAAGCTCGACCAATTGGGAGAAGGCTTGAACAGTATACGGTAGAAGCTCGACCACAATCTGACGGAATACTCAACGCGATTAGAATCCACCAGCGACGATAGCAAAATTTAAGAGTAAAAACTCAATGAACCAAAAAGGGATTTTTAAATATCATAAGTCTACCTGTTACAATAACCCTCAACTCCTTATATAGTATGATCCCAAAATAAACCTAAAACTAATGCAAAAACATCACTTAAAAAATAATTAATTGAACCCTATACATAAAATAAACAAAACACAGCCACAACAAACGTCTTCAAATTCCCCTATTGTGCATCTGCAATTCCCCTGTTGTGGATTAGCAACCTCATAATAGGAGGTCCTTCTGATCTCATTCCCCTATCACAAACCTCAGATCCCCTATTGGGAATTTTAATCCACCTGATAGGGGATTTTTTCCTGATCACCATACAATCTTTAGGCTGCTGGTTTGGTGTCCACGAAGCTTCCATCTTCTCATCCAACGCCTTTATTATCTTTATCAAGACTTATACTAACATTCTTAACACCTATCATCCCTATAATGTCTCCCAGACAAAACGAGTAAGCTCCCAAAGTAGGTACTACAGACTGTTTTCCAGACTATTCCAAATTTCCAGCTTCTTCCCTTGACTTGGTTTCTTCTTTGAACATCAAAGGGAATGGTTTTGGGCCACTATCTAGGATCACATCATTCTCGAACACATACCCATACTTAGTCAAATTCCGCATTTGATTCAGTTTTGACTATGTGTCAATCGAAATTTGAGAACCTTCGTTGAGCCACCAAAGGGCTCACTCTCCTTCTATCAAAGCATGGTCGTCATTCTTCAACACTTGTACTTTTACGGCAAAGCCTTGGTTACCTTCGAACAGCCCCCACGAAGCATGTGCATCTTCCTAAAGTTGGCAACGAAGGCTGTTTATGGACTTAACAAAAAAAAAATCCCTTTTTATTCTGTGATTGCTTGCTTCTCTAAGATGACTTATGACCTTCAATTGGCTTGCTTCTAGGGATTGCATCAATACTTGTTTCTCTATAATATTACAAAATCCACAGAAAGAACTTCCTTAAAATGGGTAAATTTTAATAATTTCAATTGCTAGGAGAATAAAAAATATCCATCCATTAAAATTTGATTTGAAGATTGCATAAACTCATCTAGGTCGTGTAAGAACTTATTAGGTCTCAATAACTCCTTGTTAGGTCTCAATAACTCTCGAAGTGAAAAAAACACTGAATTTTTGGTTGTGACATATGAGGCATGGCGATGCGACAGACGCAGTTCAAAGCACGAAATAACCTCCAAGAAAGAAGAGGGTCTACTAATGAAATGTGTCCCTACTCCCTTGTACTCTAGTGCGCTTAGAGATTAAGGCTCGCGAACTTGATTTTGTTATGGAATTATTTATGGTGCACTTTCATTATTGACCTGTTATGTTTACGCTATAGGCTCTTTTCTCAAGAGGGTTTAAGGTTAGGATGCCAATTTTGACCTGATTCATTATATTTTTTAGTTTGATTTGTTATGAGATGGGTGGTATCTGTCTTGTAGGTAAGACGGGAGCGGGTATGGTGATATGATCCTAAATGACTTAATCTATGAATAATGATTGCTTGGCAAAGAGGAAACTTCAACTAGCACGAAGAACATTGAAAATTGGCTAAGTGTTGAGATTGTTTCAGGAGACCAACTTTGCAGGCTTGGTTCTAACAAATTGCTAGATGAAAATTCAAGATTAAGGGTTTGTTTTGAAGCTGGAGTGTTCATCTACAAGTTGGGATGTGTGGGTGCTCAAGAAGAAGTCAGGAAGGTCATTTTCAAAGCTTCTCAAAAACCTCGGCCAAAGCCGAGAAACTGCCTGAAAATTGCCACGTCTGGAAACGTGACTGTTAAGCCTACTTTGGAGCTCCATTCGAGGAAGAGACTGAGAATCAAGTTAGGAGCTTCATACCACATGAAAGTATGTGTATTAATCTACAAAGACAACGCATTGGATTAGGAGTGGGCAAACGGTTCGGTAAACCCGAAGCAAACTGAATTAAATCGAAATCGAAATAATGCTATTCGGTTCGGAATTCGGAATGAAAATATCAATATTTCGGAAATCAAGGTTCTTTCAACCGAACCAAAATTCCGAAATTTCGACCAAAAAATAAAAAAACTATAATTGCAACCTCCAAATGGTAGATTTTTATGTTTTTAGTTGTTTTTAGACTTAAATATTTGAAATGTTTTATGGATTATGTGTTGAAAGTTTGATTTTATCATTGATTATGCATATAATTGCATATTTTTTGTTTATATTAGGGGTGAAAAATAATTTAAAAGTGAGAAGATACAAGTAGCCTCACAAATTTGGTTTTATGTGAAAAACCAAACCGAACCGAATTATATATTGGCTTAAACCGAACGAACCAAATTATAATTCGGTTTGAGGTTTGGGAGAATTCGGGGACCCGATATTCATAATTTAGGTTCGGTCAAAACCGAACCGACCGAATGCCCACCCCTACATTGGATGATTGATTTGATACCTAGAAGGCTTCAAACGAAAGAGGGCAAGATAGTCTGGACCCTGCCGAAACTGTCTTGCTTACCAAGGAACCTGAATCCTTCTCGGATTAGGATTACTTTACCTTTTCTGTTTTGCACTTTGATTCTGAGTTTGTCTGTGTTTATATTAGTTTGTTTAACTAGCCTAGCTCTATGTAAGCCTTTCAATTGCATTGTAATAGATAAATTTTGTTCAACTGAATACAAACATCAAGTTTTGGTTCATTAGCTTTCGTCTTGTAAGTTGATTGAATTGCTTGGTAGATTCCGAGTGATTCGTGTGCTTGTATCAAACAAGTAAACCACCTTATTTGTTGCCTGGCTTCTACCTATCTATTTTGAGGCGTCTCCCTTGTGAGAGATTGCACGAAGTTGACAATCCAAAACACACCAAACATCGCCCTGTTTTCCGTGTGTTCTTGTCCGATGTTCAATTCTTTCCCATTGAATTGATTAAGCTTCTCACTCTTATCGAAAGAGACCCATCTAGGTCTCATAAACTAGTATCAAAGCCTGGTTCAACACAGTGGCAACAACGAAGAAGAAGAACGTACCTATCGTTGCAAGAACGAGGCACAAGGATCCAGTTGTCTTGCGAAAACCAAAAGAGTCAGAGTCTGACGACGAGACCTAATTGGACCAGCAAACCATGGGAGAATCATCTCTCAGTGCGGCCGAGACTTTGCAATCGGTGGTTGCAACTTAATCGGCAGTTGGCCGAGTTAAATTTGAAGGTTAATGCCCCTATCTCACCGATGAATATAACCAAGCCTGATGTGAGGGCAGAGGCAGCACAGAATTAGGGAGTTCAAATTGGAGGTGATCCGACCTTGATGGAGCGCATCCACGATCTGGAAGGAAGGCTCATCACGACGAAGCAGGACCACAGTGAATCCCATCACGATGATCGTGATCACGATCGCCGTCCCCCTGAAACCACCAAATATCCCACCTTTTTCTGGCTCCAACAAAGCCTTTAGCTACCTGGATTGAGAGAGGGAAGTGATTATTTTCTTTTAATGCAGGAGTTATATGGAGCCACAGAAGGTTCTCTTGGCGACATATGAATTTACGGATTACGTCCGCACAATGCTGGGAATGGATCAGACTCTGACAATGCCAGAACTTTCAGCCTGAGATCGAGACCTAGACAGAACTAAGGGGCTTCATGAGGAACAGATTTGCTCTTGGGTACTACCAGCGATAACTTGGAACAAATTCGGCAGGGATCGAGTGTTGTGGAGGATTACTTTTGTGAGCTTGAGTTGCTCAAGATGTGAGCTGCTATAAAGGAGGATCAAGAAGCTACCATTCCTCGATTCCTTCATGGGTTAAACCAAGAAATTCATCAGGAGATAGAATTGAGTTGTTAAGTTGGAAGAGGTAGTATATCTTGAAATCAAGGTTGAGAGGCAGCAAAAGACGATGCCAGACCAAAGATATTCCGTTGGTGACCAACCTGGTGGCAGAACCTCTAGTTGATCTCAATTTGCCTCAATCAAAGCCTGAAGTCACCAAATCGGCTGCCAAGAATGTTCCTCCAACTGCTATTGAATGATATGGAGGCATTCAATGTTTTAAATGTCATGGTCGAGCCTATAAAGCGAATAATTGTCCAAATTCAAGGACTCTGGTCATTCGCGAGGGCGAGTACCTCACTGACAATGAGAAGAGATCCGACAATGAAGAGGAAGTGGAAGAGGAGATCATAGTTAGCAGGCAAGCCCTGGCACTTGAAGCTTCCCCATATGTCAGCCAGCATGAAACTTTGTTTCATTCACGATGCTTGGTAAGTGGCAAGCTGCTCTCCGTGATTGTGGATGGAGGTAGTTGTGCCAATGTCGTTAGCCAGGACGTGGTGAAGAAACTTTGGCTGCAAACCAGTAAGCACCCCGAGCCTTACAACCTCCACCGGATCAACGATTACGGGGCGATCAAAGTCAACAAACAAGATCAAATTCGATTTGAAATTGGTGAATACAAAGATGAGCTTCTCTTTGATGTTGCTCTGATGCAGGAAACCGATTTGTTGCTAGGACGTCCTTAGAAATTCGAAAGAGAAGTGTGTCATTATGGTGGAACCAAATGTTACAAAGTCAAACACGATGGTCGAAAAATTATGTTGAAGCCTTTGTCGCTGGAATAAGCCATGAAGATCAATGACAATTGGAGGCGAGTCGACGGCATCAAAATGCTGAATCCATTCAAACCCATCTCGAGGAACCCAGTGGAAATAATTTTATGGTTCGACGATTCATGTCATGGCTTTGATACATGAGCTATGCTTTGATGCATGAGTCATGGTTGAGACCACAAGTTGAGGTTATGCTCCTACTTCTCAGCACCTGACATGGGAGAGGGGGTAACAAATTCATGTTTTAGGCCGCGTCCATTATTCATCACATTAGTAGGTATGTTTGGGAACACGACCGTTTCCTGGGTCGTGTCGACAAACAAGGGGAGGAACACGGTCTTGTCCTTCCTACCTTACTCCTTTCAATGCCTTCTTTGCCTTCATTTGTCCAATAGTTTGTTCCTCGATCTTAATAGGATCTTAAATAAAGCCGCGACGTGAGCGTCACAAACTGTCTCCTAAAGCCGCGAAGTGTGTGTTTGTTGGGTATAGTGACAAACACAAATGTTATGACACCTATGATTAGCTGATCGATGGGTTCATATCTCTCGTGACGTTGCATTCTTGGAAGCATCTCTCGTATTATGGTGCTACTAATTCGACTCCTTGATCGGACTTGGACTTCTTGAACACTTTGCCCTCGTTGGACCCGCTATCTCCGCCTCCAAAGATCACGTCCATGCTGCTGGATATGAGCTCCCCATCGACTTCTGCATGATCTCGACTCGGTTCGTCCTCGCCTCCGAACTCTCCTTCCACTTCCCGTTCTTCTTCAGCCTCCTCGAGTGAAAATAATTCGTCAGATCTACATTTGGAGGAGGTCAAGGAAATACCCAAGTAGCGTCGTTCTATGCGTACCACGAAGGTTAGCAGCCTGCTCACATGTCCGATTTGTGTCATTCTCAACTTCCTATATTCCCATTCCAGCGACGTATAAGCAAGCTGAGGAAATCCACACTGGAATGCAGCTATGACCAATGCAGTCAAAATCGGAATTTTGATCGTAAAATCGCATGATTTTAGGATTTTACTTAGTGATTTCGATCCTGATTTCACTATAAAATTGATGGACCCTAAACCGTTTAAAATCTTGATTAAAATTGTACCATAATCGGGATTTTGATCGTATGAGAACGAAATAGGTGGTTTGACCTAATTTAAAAGAAGCAGAACTGTTTTGGCGGAAAGGGCAATGAAGAGGATATTCTTAAATAATATCCTATTAAAAAAATTTTATAAACAAACATATTAAAATTAGGTCTCAGTCAATCCCTTCCCTACGTCCCATTTAACTCATCGCTAAAACAGTTGTCCTAATATTGGAAGTATGTAAGAATCAACATCATTATAACTAACTAATTTATTAATGAATATATTTTTACCAAGCCACTAGAATTAATTATTTTATTGGAGTTCAATTATTCTTATTTTTATATCGTGCTTAGTAGTTAGTAGACGATGTCAGAATATTACTAACTTAAACTACCTAGACACTACATTAAAATAAGAGCCAAACCCCATGAGCTCTATCCATTCTTCATGAATAATTTTGAGTTACACAGTAAATAACAATTAAAATGATATTTTGGAGCATTGATCTTGAGTATTATCATTTTAAATGTTATGTGTCTCTGTGTTATTAATGATTTACCTTATTAATATTAGTATATGTTATGTTCTACATGGTACTTAAAATCTTACGATTTTACGATTCTGATTTTAACCCAGTTTTCAATTTTAGATAAAATCTTGATTTTGACTGCATTGGCTACGACGACCCAGGTTCAAGCTCTCGAAGCCAACCACATGTGGGACATTGTCGCACGCCCTCTTCATGCTTCGATTATTGGCTCGAAGTGGGTTTTTGACGTCAAGTTGCATCCGAATGGTTCTCTTGGACGCTTTAAGACACGGGTGGTCGCTCAAGGCTTCAAGCAGGAATTTGAGATTGATTATGAGGAGACGTTTGCTCCTGTGGCCAAAATGCAGACTGTCAAGACTTTGTTTGTTGTGGCCGCATTACGAGGGTGGTGTCTTAAGAAGTTAGATGTAAAGAATGCATTTTTGCATGGAGATCTAAAGAAGACCATCTACATGGAGTGTCCTCCAGGCTATCTGGGTGGTGATAAGTCTAAAGTCTGTTTGCTTCATCGGTTTTTTTATGGTCTTAAACACACAACGAGAGCATGGTTTGAAAAGTTCCAGGATACCATTCTACTGGCGGGGTTTACTCATAGTGACAATGACCCTTCATTGTTTGTGCAACGTATAGATCGGGGTATTACTATTTTGCTTATATACGTCGATGATATGCTCATAAGTGGTTATAATGTTGGCAGGATTCAGGAGCTCACTGCCACTCTGCATGCGACATTTCACTTGAAGGAGCTTGGCGATGTGTCCTATTTCTTAGGATTGGAGGTTCAACTAGGGGAGGCATTCGGTCGGTTCGGTTCAAACCGAATCGAAATAATGTATACCGGGTTTCCGAGTTCCATCAAATCTCAAACCGAATTATAATTCGGTTCGGTTGGTTCAAACCGAATTATAATTCGGTTTGGTTCGGTTTTGTATGAAAAACCAAAATTGTGAGGTTAGCTTGTATTTTTTCTCTTTCAAATTATTTTTCACACCTAATGTAAACAATAAATATGCAATTAAATGCATCATCAATGATAAAATCAAACATTTCAACACCTAACTCATAAAACACTAACATAATTCAAATATTTAAGTCTCATAATAAGTACAAACACAAAAATTCACCATTAGGAACTTGCAATTATAGTAATTCGGAAAATCGGTTCGGAATTCGGAAATTCGGTTCGGTCGAAAGGACCTTGGTTTCCGAAATATACCCTTTTCTCTTCCGAATTCCGAACCGAAGTAATGTTATTCGGTTTCGGTTCGGTTTGAATTCGGTTCGGTTAGGTTCAGTTTTACCGAAAAGTATGCCCACCCCTAGGTTCATCGGTCTCCTGAGGGATTGCTTATGAGTCAACAAAAGTATATGGCTGACCTACTCGAAACGGCTAATATGGAAGATTACAACCCATGTGCTACTCCCATGGAGCAAAATCTAAAGTTACATCAATCTGATGGTGACTTGCTCCTTGAGAGTTCCTCATATCGTAGTCTGGTAGGGGGTTTGATATATCTCACTCATACCATACCGGATATTTCTTATGCACTGCAAGTTGTCAGCCAGTTTATGTCTGCTCCTCGCACAACACACATGGTAGTGGTTACTCGCATCTTGTGATACTTGCAAGGTACAACTGATGTGGGGTTGTTCTTCCCTTCTTCTGGTGATCTGGTTATTGACACATATGTAGACGTAGACTACCGCAGGGTGTTTGGATACTCGTCGATATATGTCAGGCTGGTGTGTGAATTTTGGTTCCTCTTTTATTTCTTGGCGGTGCAAGAAGCAAGAGAGGGTCTCCAAGTCTTCCACGGAGGCTGAATATCGTTCGATGTCAGAAGTTACATCAGAACTTGTGTGGCTTCGCCAATTAGTGGCTGAGCTTGGTGTTACATGTGTGATTCTTATGCGCCTGTATGCAGATAACACCAGTGCGATTCGTATAGCTATGAATCATGTTCTGCATGATCGCACTAATCATATCGAGGGGCATGTTCACTATATTCTTCAGCACGTTGCCGAGGGAGTGGTCGAGCTATCCTACATTACTTCTTAAGATCAAACGGCAGACTTGTTGGCAAAGGCAGTTGCGACTTCTCGCCATTGGTTCTTCGTTTACGAATTGATGTTGCGTAAGCATCATCATTTTGAGGGAGGTTATTATAAGTATTGGGTGTCAATTATAATTTACCATTATTGCGTGTGTTAGAAGGATTGGTTAGTTACTTGGTTGTCCTTGAGATAGGGTTATTCGGCTAGGATAAATATGTGGGTTAGGCGAACTTGTAACCTAAAAATTTTTGGTGAATACAATTGACTCTGAGAGGTTGCTCCTCTCCATGGATTAGTCTCAACAATACGTTGAGAATACCACATAAATCGGTGTGTTTGTGTTTTTACCCTTTTGCTGATTTTGTGTTTAACAATCTTATGAGCAGCTTCAAGCACTATGGTGAAAACGACCTCATTTGGGAAGGAACCAACAGAATACTGAAAAGTTGGCATGTACATAGTGATTGAACTAGTAAGGGAAAGATACCTCAAAGAAGTTGTGGTGATGAATGTGATGGACCAAACTATTCTGGGTTACAATAATTTGCGATGCGACCAAATGTCATTGTCATCCAATTCATTGTGGGTGACTGGTTGTTGTTGTTAAATTTTTGGTGGGAGTGCTACAAATACAAAGAGGAGATACCGCGAATGTCAACGTTATTATGGGCTAAATTACACATTTGGTCACTCAAATTATACAAATCTTTCACGTTTGCCACTCGAATTACTTTTCTTTCTTATTCGCCACTAACTTTTCAAATCATTTCACCGTTAGTCACCGGCCGTTACAATCCGTTAAATTTATTCTACGTGACAATCAACTATAAAGTTTGTCCGTTAACTAGATGAGGTGGAAATTAAAAAAAAAAATTAATTTTATTTTTTCACCTCACCATCCCACTTAGTTTGTTAACGAACGGAAGCATCTTGATGCCTCGACGGAAGCACCTGGCTCCTCCTCCCTCTCTTCGATTTCGATCCCGCCGCTGTCGGCTGCCGCCTCCGTCCTCATATCATTCTTGCCCCTGTTCAAATCCACCACCCAACACTTGTTCCTTCTCTTCCTCTTCGTGCCCCGCAGCGCAATTCGTCTGCTGCCGCGTCCCCTAATCGACGGCGAATGAGGCTCTGACTCGTCCTCTGTCTCCTCCGCGGCAGTCATCGGCATCTCGTTCGGATCCCAGCTGGTCGACGACTACGAATCATCACCAAAAGCAAGCTCCGCCGCTTTAATAAGGACCGTAAGCCGACGATCGGTGATTCCGACTACTCCAATTCCCTCGTTAGCACGCCGACTGTCGTTTTGTAGTTCCCCACCTCTTTTTTTGTCGTCGTCTTCGTCACCAATTCTGTTGATGTCGATACCTCTGCTTTAGTTGATTCGCGGATTCATAGCTTTTAGAGCCTTTACTGGCGGAGAAAAATCACCGTCGTCGCCGTCCTTATTGCTAATTGGATCGAACTCACCCTCAGAGCTCTTCCGATCAACAACCGCCGCTGAATCACCACTACCAGCACTCACCGCCTCGTTGTCTGACTTTTTGACGACTTTTGACGTTGAATTGCCTTCCTTTGATTCCCTCCCTAGAAGTTGCCTTCTTCTGTTGCCTTGGAAATATTCCTGCTGCAAGTGTTGCCGTCTACCAGAGCTGAGACTGTCGGTGGCAGGGGGAGGAATTGATAAGAGAGCAATTTCTTCCTGCCGTTGATAAGTAATTTTTATAACTAGCGTGGCCCCGGCCATTTGGCCCGAGGAAGGTGAGGTATGAAATTTGATAATGTAATGGGTGGTATAGCTTATTGTTGTATTTTTTTTTTTTTGGGAAACACATGATAAAAATAGTGAATTTTAGTAGGAAAGAGACATAAATGATGTAAAGAATCAAAAATCAGCCTTATGAACAAGAAAATCGAATAAAAAATAGTCTATCCCGCCGATTTTCGGGAAATGAGCATCTCACAATCGTTGCTAGCTTTAATCGGCCCGTTGGCCGATTAATTTGGTTCATAAAACTTTCATCTTGTCATCATTGTGCTTTCTGGTTTTTTGCCAAGCCATGATAAAATCTAAAGAAATCAAGAATGAACAACACGATTTGGGATAGGAACCACCGTTCCTGTATCCATAGAAAATGGTGGTAAACACGGACTCACTTGCCAAACTGGTTTGGATTGGGATTTTTATCGGGTATCATGGAACCATGTGATTATAAATTAGACTTGATCAAAACGGGCCAAAACTTGAAATTCAGCCAGTCTGACCGACCCATGCCAAACTCTAATTATTCTTTACTTTTAAACTTTCTATTTGAAAATAAAAAATAATGAAATAAAAAAGGTGACTGCAATTTGCCATTTGCACATCACTGATTCGGGAAATAAAACTATAGAATTTCGAAAGAAAACTGAAAATGTTTAGGATCGTTTTAATGTTAAAAATACCCAAAATGATCTTTCTGTTTAGTTTTTTACTAACAAATACCAAACGATTCCCTATAATATACACTATAATTTAATCATTATAATATCAAATAATTACATAATATATATTTGAAATGATAAAAATTGGACTAATTGGGTTGGTCGAGGTTGAACCATTGAATAACTTTAAAATACATTATATTTTAGCCACTAAGATATAAAATAATAGCATAATATTTATTATGCTATAGAAAATAGTTTGTTTTAGAATGACAAACCCATAATGTTCATTTGGTTTACTTGATGGGCAAATCCCGTGTAGGTCAGGCCCATTCAACTCTTTTATTTTATGATTAGCGGTTAGCCCATTAGAATCCATGCATTAGTTTATTGTTAAATTATTTTCTTTTTAGCAATAGAAAGGAGTATTGTTTTTACCTTTTCATATATAGTTTACCACCACGGAGAAATAAAAGGACTTAAAAGAAAAAAATTGACACTCTTGGACCCGTTTAAATCCGCATGTGTACGGTAAGTTGGGCCGTTCCACAAAGGAGAAATAAAAAAATTGACACTCCCTGTTCTATTCCTACAACCGCTCCTGGAGCAGGGAATTTGAAATGGGGAAGGGTTTTTTCCTCTCTGCGATTATATGTTTTTAATTTAAAAAGATACAACAAATGTACTTAGTGTAATTGGTTATGATCTTTGTTTTTCTTTAAAGTGGTCATGGTTCGAATCCTAGTAAGAGTCTTTTTAATGAATAAAAATAAAGTAATTGTGAAGACCAAAATGTCATTCCTACTTTCACTCTGGATGCAGAAAATTTGAAATGAGGCTTCAAGTTTTCTCATTTGGGTTTTATTTATTGTTAAGGACGGCAATGGGTCGGGTCGGCGACGGATAGTGCATATCCGTTACCCTACCTAAAGTAGTTCGGGTTTTACCCATACCCATACCCACATAAGAAACGGGTAGAAAATTCAAACCATGCCCATACCCGTTCGGGTTTTGGGTATCCACGGTTATCCATGGATAATAGTTTCTCTTTATAACTCTAACCAATATGTTAATATTCACACGTATTCTCAAGTTATGTAAGACGAAAAGTACGACAATAATTCACTAGAATAAAGAAAATTAATTAAAACATTACAATTTCATAAAAATGTTATATTTATATGCTAAATATAAAATATTATAGCGAAAAAATTGATTATTCCTAGACAAAATACATATGCATGTGTATAATCGGGCGGGTTCGGGTTGGATATTGAGAAAATCATGCCCACCCATTACCCATAATATTCGGGTTCGGGTTTTACCCATACCCACTAAAAATCATTCGGGTTCGGGTTTTACCCTACCCAATTAAGTCGGATTCGGGCGGCTATCCACGGTTACGGATATTATTGCCATCCCTATTTATTGTGTACATTTGTTAATTTTTTTATTAAATAATTAATATGATAAATCAGACAAATTAAGTGAAATGATGAGGTGGAAAATAAATTTATTTTTTCATTTTTTAATTTCCACGTCATCGAGTTAACGGTCAAACTTTATAGTTGACTGCCACGTAGGATAAATTTAACGGAGTGTAACGGCCGGTAACTAACGTGAAACGATTCGTAAAGTTAGTGGTGGATAAGAAAGAAAAGCAATTCGGGTGGCAAATGTGAAAGATTTGTATAATTTGAGTGACCAAACATGTAATTTAGCCGTTATTATGGGGAGTTGCTAAAAGTCGCCCTTAAAATTGCTAAAGGTCGCCCTAAAAAGTATTAAAGTTACACTTATAACCCCCCTAGCTTCTTTACCTTCCCTTTATCAAACAAACACCACTTGGACTAAAAAAACACTATCTAAGGAGAGAAAAATCCATCATCGTCATTTTGAAGCCGATATCGTCGGTAGGACGTTTGAATCATGAGTAGCGACTCCGACGAGGTAAATACATTAACTGAAAAATAATAAAATAATAAAAAAGGGAACCGCGGGTCACTTGCGTTTCGACCATGGTCCAACCGCAGGTCACTTGCGGTTCAGCATTTTATGGTTTTTTTTTCAAATCAGTATTTTCTATTTTTTATATGATTTATGATTTGTTCCATGAGACAAATTTGTTGGATTTTGATTTATATAATTTTCTAGATTTATTTGCATAATTATTTTTGTAATTGAAGGATTTAGCATTAGAAATTAAGATTAGATTTGGCCTTAAATTAAGATTAGATTTAATTTGGTCTTAATCTAGAAATTAAGATTATATTTTGCATAAATAATAGATTCGCATATGAAGTTATGATGATTATTAAATTTAATATAGTTATGAAATTTTAAATGTATCATATGGTACTCGTTAAATTGACGTTATAGAATGTTAAGTTTTTTTTTTTAATTTGTGGGGTATCACTTATAAATTCTGATAACATTGCAGGATATTGGAAGTTACAATCTGGATGGCCATGATTACACCTCGGATTTCATTGATGACGTGAAATACACTACGGAGTTGCAAGCATATGAAGCAGCTACTGAGATTGCCAAGGGTTTTGGGTTTTATTTGGTGAGGGCATCGAACAAAAAAAATAAGAATGAAGGTACTTGGCGACATTACTTACATTGCACTCATGGTAGGAAGAAGAAGTCGAAGGAAACTGATCCGAGTAAGGAAAGGAGGCCTCTTACATCTACTGAAAAGTTCGGGTGCGAGTTTCAGATCAAACTTGAGCGGTCCGGTGATGGATATTGGTTGATCCTAGGGGTGCCAAATACAAAGAATCCTGGTGCTAATTTGGGTTTCCACAATCATCAGTTGGAGCTATTTCCGGAGGGATCAAAGGGAAGAAATGTTTTGACTACAGAGGATAAGCAATACATCAGAGAGCTGAGATCAGCCGGTGTCCCACCAAGGAATATGCACAAGGCAGTGAATGAGAGAAAATGTGCAAATGGAACACACAACAGAAAGCAGATTTATAACGAGTTGCAAAAGATAAGGAAAGAAGAGCTTGGTCAGATGACAACCTTACTGTAGGGCTGGCAACCGGTCGGTTTTGGTTTAACCGAAAACTGAATTCTCAGTTTTCGGTTAAACCGAGACCTGACCAGAAGTCACCGTCCACCGACCGACCCCATAGCCCCAGTTAGCCGCAAACCGACCGGGCGGTTTTTGGTTCAGGCGCGGTTTAACCTGGGCAACCGAAATAGTGCTGGGCAGTTCGGTTCAACAGCTTAACCGACCGACAACCGACCTCTTGTTAGATAAGATTAAAAAATTAAAAAAATTTTTGAAAGAAATAAAGAAAGAAAATCCTAGCCACACTTTCCTTATCTTCTTCCTCTTCTCTCATCTCTCTTTTACGCAGAAACAAACTTCTTCTTCTTCTCTCCTCTCTCTTCTCTCCTCTCTCTTGTACGCAGAAACAAAGAAAAAAAATTAAAACTTTCCTTATCTTCTTCCTCTTCTCTCCTCTCTCTTTTACGCAAACCAAACCTTTTCTTCTTCTCTGGTGTAGGCAGCGGGGCGACAAGGGTGGAGGCGGCGGGGCGACGTCGACGAAGGCGGTGGCTAGGCGAAGTTGGGCGAAGGCGGAGGCTCGCCTACTCTGCTAGTCGATGACGACGAATGCAAAGGCGGCGGAGGTTCGCCGGCGAACTGGGTGGAGTCGGCATTGAGGCTCGGTGCGCGATCGGGGAGATGGGGGAGGGAAGGGTCGTCGAATTAGGTTATTCGATTTGGCGGTGAAGGATTTTTTGCGGTTTTGGGATGGGGAGAAGGGAATTTTCGGTGAGGGTCGGTTAGCCGCGATTAATTATGTCCGGTTATTCGGCTAGCCGGAGCCCTCTGATACGCATCCGAACACCGACCGAGGTCGGTTTTTGCCGGTTTTCGGTTAGTCGATTACTGTCGTTTTTCGGTTATAACCGGCGGCTAACCGCTAACCGGCAACCGATTTGCCAACCCTACCTTACAGTATACTTTCCGCGTGGCGTAGGAGAAGGGTTACTATGTGCAGTATATGGACGATCGTAACGTGCTTACACACTTGTTCCTAGCCCACCCCAAGTCAATAGTGATGTTGCGAGCTTGGCACCATGTGATTGTGATAGATGCAACATACAAGACCAATAAGTTTGTATGCCTTGGGTTGAGATTGTCGGCATGACACCAGTGGGATTGAACTTTGTCATTGCATCTGCAATAGTGTACGACGAGACGAAGGAGTCGTACCAATGGCTTCTGACGCATTTGCAACATATTCTTGGTTCCATTGTTCCAGATGTGTTTGTCAGTGACAAGGCAGGAGGATTGGTTGA